TAGCTCTTTTTTGCAACAAAAACAAGGGTTTGGTGTTGGTGCTATATGTATTACCCCAGATTTCAGTGCAGTAACTGAAATATGGGAGAACCAGTGAGCAGTACAGCATATGTAACGAGCTACAATCAAATAAATCTTTCACTTTGTACAAGATACCAATAGTTTTACTAATTTTTTTCTTTACATAGTCTATGTGAGCTTTCCAATTAAATTTCTCATCTAAGACAACGCCCAGAAACTTAACTTCATTAACCCTTTCAATCCGAACTCCATCAATTGTGATTTTCACATCATCACTTTTATTTTTGTTACCAAATATCATAAAGTTTGTTTTGTCCCAATTTAATGATAACTTATTTGCATTAAACTAATTCCTCACATTTTTTAATTCAGCACAAACTCTTTCTGTTAATTCAAGCAAGTTATTACCCGAGTTGAATATACTGGTGTCATCAGCAAACAACAAAAAGTTTAAGATCTTAGACGCTTCACAGATGTCATTGATAAACAAAATAAAAAGCAAAGGTCCTAAAACGGACCCTTGTGGGACCACATGTGACCTTTTTGTAATGTGAATTCACCCCCTTGATATGCACATATTGTTCACGGTTAGAAATATAACTTTGAAGCCATTGGTGTACTGGCCCCCTGATTCCATAGCTATATAATTTGGACAGTAGCAACTCATGATTTACGGTATCAAATGCCTTGCGTAAGTCAATGAATACTCCGACTGTATATTCTCTTCTTTCCGTAGCAGCTGTTATTTTTTCAACCAATTCAATAAGTGCTAGGCTTGTAGATCTTTGTGTCCTGAACCCATACTGTTTTTCACTGATTAAGTTATGTTTATCTAAGAAGTGTGTAAGTCTATGAGAGAACCATTTCTCCAGGACTTTGGAAAACTGAGAGAGCAGCGACACTGGTCTGTAGTTGTTAAATGTATGTTCATCCCCATTTTTGAAAAGCGGGATTACTTTGGCGACTTTCATTTGATCCGGAAATATATATATTTCCGGAAATATATATATTTCCGGAAATATATATATCTATACCACATATATATATATATCCATATAGATATATATCCATATAGATATATATATATATCTATACCATATATATATATATATATCCATCTATACCATATATATCCATACTGTATACATCTATCTATACTGTATATATAGTACCAGCGCCCACAGAGTCTTATAGATCCCAAACTGACTCCCACTACATCACAAACTTAAAATACTTTGAGGTATTTAATTCAAACATGTTAAACTGACAGTGTTGATGGTTTGTGTCATTCAGTCCTGTCCAGTTTATTTATAAAACACTGATAAAAAACAAGAAGGTGGACCAAAGTGCTGTACATGAAAAGACATACAATAAATTCCAATTAGAAAATACAAAGCAGGGACAAAAAACACAATATTTACAACAACAACAAAAAGAGTAGATGTATAAACAGGAAGTGAGTCAGACACACACTGGGGCGGCTCATTCCACCAAAGAAGCTTCATCTCCTGAGTTTAGGATTAGTCTGAGGACCCAGAGCACAGCCTGATCTAATCAATGTGGCCCTCATAGACACCAGTTCACAATGTCATACAGCCAACTTCAGCTCTACTAATACATGTATATCTTTTTGTAAAGTTGTAAAGTTTTTTTTTTGAATATTCTCACTAGGGCTGCACGATACTGGAAATTAGAGCGATTTAGTATTGCGATAACGATATTATTGAGATATTTTTGTCTTTCACCAAAAAATTGCATCTGCTTTGAAACACAAGAGACAAATAAAAAAAAATAAGCACAACATTAATGACATGGCATATAATTATATACTTTTTTTTTTGTTCTTGTTGAATGCTGATTTCTGTCTTAAATAAAGTAAAAATGGATATCGCACGTACCAATATCGCGATAACAATATTTTTCGATATATCGTGCAGCCCTAAAACTCACATTTGTTTTTGATTGTTGCTCAAAATGTAGTTGCTAACGTAGCTTTTAAAACAGTACAGATGCCATTCAGCCAACGTCAACTTTATTAAAGCTGGACTGTCTGGTGAACTAAAGTGGCCCGATTACTAAAAAGTTTGGACACCCCTGGTCTCCTGTAACCGAGTAACCAGCCTCTACCTGCAGACGTCCCAGGAGAGGATGGACTGTTTTGCCTTCATGTCAGGTGGGGGCAGGTGCAACGGTCTGAGAACAAAGCCTGTTTGTTTAAAGCCGAGCAGAGGCCTGAGTCTGCATGTTGTGGTCAAGAAACTGAAGACTAGACATATTAGTAACTTTCACTAGTTAATAACAAACTATAGTAAAGCAAATTACTTTTCTCTCCAAGTGAAGGGTGTGGGATTTTAGTGAATTGAGTGAAATATGAGTGAATCAGTTTGTATTTACTTTAAATACAAGTCTCTCCCTGACCTTGGACCAAAGTACGTCTGTGACATGTTAGTGCCAGACCCAGACTCTGGGGAGCACAGGGACTGGCCTCCTGCTGTGGACTCTGAGGAGCACAGGGACTGGACTCCTGCTGTGGACTCTGAGGAGCACAGGGACTGGACTCCTGCTGTGGACTCTGAAGAGCACAGGGACTGGACTCCTGCTGTGTACTCTGAAGAGCACAGGGACTGGACTCCTGCTGTGTACTCTGAAGAGCACAGGGACTGGCCTCCTGCTGTGGACTCTGAAGAGCACAGGGACTGGACTCCTGCTGTGGACTCTGAAGAGCACAGGGACTGGACTCCTGCTGTGTACTCTGAGGAGCACAGGGACTGGCCTCCTGCTGTGGACTCTGAGGAGCACAGGGACTGGCCTCCTGCTGTGGACTCTGAGCAGCACAGGGACTGGCCTCCTGCTGTGGACTCTGAGCAGCACAGGGACTGGCCTCCTGCTGTGGACTCTGAGCAGCACAGGGACTGGCCTCCTGCTGTGGACTCTGAGCAGCACAGGGACTGGCCTCCTGCTGTGGACTCTGAGGAGCACAGGGACTGGCCTCCTGCTGTGGACTCTGAGGAGCACAGGGACTGGCCTCCTGCTGTGGACTCTGAGGAGCACAGGGACTGGCCTCCTGCTGTGGACTCTGAGGAGCACAGGGACTGGCCTCCTGCTGTGGACTCTGAGGAGCACAGGGACTGGCCTCCTGCTGGTGCCCAGAGTAGGGACTAAACATGGGGAGGCAGCGTTTCAGATTTATAAAAATAAAATATGGAAGTCTTCCTGAAAATGTGAGACAGGCTTCTGCTCTGACAATGTTGAAATCCAGGCTAAAAACACAACAATCTGTATCTCTGCATCTTTTACTGTGATTATTTATCCTGTTCTGTTACACACTTTGACTTGCCTGGAGGGAGAGGAACAGTGCTATACAATTAAACTTGCCTTACCTTGATATCATTAAAAGACAGATTAAACTCTCAGCTCTAATGTTTTCATGTATTTTCAAAGGTTTGAGATTTTAAGTCCATGTTATACGCATTAATGTCCATGTTATACGCCTTAATGTCCATGTTATACGCCTTAATGTCCATGTTATACGCATTAATGTCCATGTTATACGCATTAATGTCCATGTTATACGCATTAATGTCCATGTTATACGCATTAATGTCCATGTTATACGCTGGGACTTGCACAACACAAGTGGAACTAACTTTAGCTCAGTCCGTCCCTAAAGTTCAAACCGGACTAGACCATTAGAAGCCGGTTTGTCCTTTACCTATAGACAAGGACAAAAGGTCTTCATCAGGACTAAACTGGGTCAAAACTGTAAACCACCTCATTCATAGCCTCTAGAGAAAGACATGGCTTAAACTGGGCCATTTCAGACTCCCGTGTTTCACAGTTTCTCAGTTTCTCAGATGTAAACAATACTCCCCTCCCAACAAAGACATGACTCAAAGGCCTCATCGTACCTGCCTGCCAGGAGGACACACCTTTCAGTGGTAGCACTTCCGTCATTACACAACAATGTACTGGATCTGCTGCTCCAGTAACAGACTTTCATGTGCAAAGTGAGTTTCAACACTCAGTTTCGGTTTCAGTCTGTAGCCCACGACCAGTTCCATCTATCACTGCAATTCCACACGTGTCTAATAAACGGATAAGTCATAATGCAATGGACGGGTATTCACGCTGCTTTGAAGTTTTGATGTCAACACGCTCAAGCTACGCCTTCAGTCACAGCAACAAATGTATACTGTAAGAACATAATGCTCTTTAGATGTAAATGTTGTAAATATGTAAATAATAAATAAAAATATCCATCCATCTTCCTTTTATCAATTCCTGGGGGGCTGGCTGTCAGAGCTACACCCAATCCACAGCGCTCCAGCCCCTCACTGACCCTGCTGCAGGTGGTGGGTCCACAGGAGGATCATACAGTGGGGGCTTCAAGCAAAGAGGAGTTAAGTGTCTTGCCCAAGAACACAATGACAGCAGACATCAGTGGGAGTCTGTGGAGAAGGTCTCGTGGTGGGATCGAACTCACGACCTTCAAGCTCAAAGGCCAACTAAGCCACTGTCACCCCATAATAAATGAAAAAATATATAATAAAAATCAAAGCAAAAAAGGATTTCCCCAAATTTTAGGAAAGAAACGCCCTTTCCACTTTTTCAACTAAACTCTCTGGTCTTATTTGACGTGCACCTTTCACCAGAATGATCCACCCGGAAGTAGAAAAACCTTCTATACACCTTTAAGACATCTGACTCCAAGTTATGGCTGTTTGCATTGAACCAGAGCAGTGCAGGACCATGGATCTATTACAATAGTGTAGGACCAGGAGGTGATGCACAATGACATCATGGTGTTGCAAACGATCCAAAGCCACAGGACAAAGCAGAAGTCGGTGCAAACTATTCTGGAAAGCAGGTGTATAAACTTCTCCGTCCCCTGCACACATCCAAGACTGGGATCAACAGTTTGGGCCCGAGTGAGTCCCTAAGGTCCGTCCTTATGGTCCGTCCCTATGGTCCGTACCCACCTGGTTCACAGCAGCCCTGTCTCTGCCGCTGAACAGGTCTTTCCTACGGTCCCCAAAGCCGTGGCCACTCGCTCCAAGCCGAAGTTAGATGCTCTCATGTAAAAGGCAGAGAATTAAAGAAGTATATAAACATGGGCTGGCGACAGAGAAGGAGAGAATTGACTAAAACGCCGTGGGTCTTCCGTCTCTCGTGCGGTAGTGTTTCCTGCTGCTAAGCTAAACTTCAAACTCCGCCCACATGATGCGTTCAAAGACACCGCGTAAACTACGGTACCATGTTTCTACAAATCATGAAAGAAATCGCCAAAACAAGTTGCTATTATTGCTATTTTAATGTAGACAACAGTCTATATCTTTATTTTAATGTTTAACCGAAATAAAATCCTCAAATATTGAACTTATTGTATTAACCTACTCACACAGGGAACTTATAAGTTTGATATAAAGCTATGTTTAAGCTAGCTAACTTTAATATTTACAGTTTATGATGTAGCCCCATGAACCTTGAAAAATAACAAACAAATACTCTCGTGTCAATAATCGTGAATTTTCAGTTATTATTAATTTAGGGGTTAGTGTGGGTGGCATGTGATTTTAGAGCAGATTACCCCAAGAAAACAATCAAACCATTGTTTTTTTGTTTAATCTAATTTTAACCCAAAAAACACTTTTTACCCACACACCCATCCACCCATGTTCTTCCCCTTAATCCATTTCTGGGTCGGGAGGCAGCAGTCAGAGCACCAGCCCCTCACTGATCCTCCTGCAAGAGGAGAGTCCACTGGAGGCTGCTATCGGTGAGAGCACAGCCTTGATCTTACTGTGGGGGCTTCAGGCAAAGTGGGGTTAAGAGTCTTGCCCAAGGACACAATGACAGCAGACACCAAACACATAATCATAAATATTTATATACAAAAATAAATCATTGACAATCAGTAAACAATTACAAGCCTGTTTTGAGTCAATGTAAACAAACAGTAACTGAACTCAGAAAAAAAATAACCAGAAAATAATTTCCAAAATCATGTCATATAAAAGTAATCAATTCTTCCAAATACCTTCATAAAGTAAAACATATATACATCCACAGATGAGCTTTTGTACTTGAACTTTCGTACCCCAACCTATTTGTTTTTTTTATTTGTTCCGGGACCAAAATGATCCCCCTGTAAACAACAAGCTCAGACTAGACTCAGGGCTCGGGCTCCATCTGAAGGTGTCGTTACATAGAATGTGGCGTTTCCACTGTATCGCTCCTGAAAAAGAAAAATATGTTACCTCCGGGTTTGTAAAATGGAGAATGAAAGAAGCATCCACTACCTTGATGTGACTGATGGTCTGGTCCACGGCCTGGGCCTGCAGCAGGGTCACGGTGCATCCTCCAAAACCGCCCCCTGTCATTCTGCTGCCGAACACACCGTCCACCTCCAGAGCAGCCAGCACCAGCTCATCCAGCTCTGGACAACTCACTTCATACAGGTCCCTGAAAACACACCAGGTTCATGTGACACCCTTTCTACACAAACCATTCTGTCTCGGTTTTATCAGGCCTTCATTGAGAGCATTTTGTACTTCTTTATCTGCTGGTTCCCTAATCTTTCACACAAAGACAAAAACAGTCTTGATAGAATTGTGCACATCTGTTCCAAAGTCATAGAAGTTGGACAGAGGGAACTGTCTCTCTCTGGTCTCTCTCTCAGGTCTCTCTCTCTGGTGTCTCTCTGGTCTCTCTCTCTGGTCTCTCTCTCTGGTCTCTCTCTCTGGTCTCTCTCTCTGGTCTCTCTCTCTGGTCTCTCTCTCTGGTCTCTCTCTCTGGTCTCTCTCTCTGGTCTCTCTCTGGTCTCTCTCTGGTCTCTCTCTCTGGTCTCTCTCTCTGGTCTCTCTCTCTGGTCTCTCTCTCTGGTCTCTCTCTCTGGTCTCTCTCTCTGGTCTCTCTCTCTGGTCTCTCTCTCTGGTCTCTCTCTGGTCTCTCTCTCTGGTCTCTCTCTCTGGTCTCTCTCTCTGGTCTCTCTCTCTGGTCTCTCTCTCTGGTCTCTCTCTCTGGTCTCTCTCTCTGGTCTCTCTCTCTGGTCTCTCTCTCTGGTCTCTCTCTCTGGTCTCTCTCTCTGGTCTCTCTCTCTGGTCTCTCTCTCTGGTCTCTCTCTCTGGTCTCTCTCTCTGGTCTCTCTCTCTGGTCTCTCTCTCTGGTCTCTCTCTCTGGTCTCTCTCTCTGGTCTCTCTCTCTGGTCTCTCTCTCTGGTCTCTCTCTCTGGTCTCTCTCTCTGGTCTCTCTCTCTGGTCTCTCTCTCTGGTCTCTCTCTCTGGTCTCTCTCTGGTCTCTCTCTGGTCTCTCTCTGGTCCTCTCTGCTCTCTCTCTGGTCTCTCTCTCTGGTCTCTCTCTCTGGTCTCTCTCTCTGGTCTCTCTCTCTGGTCTCTCTCTCTGGTCTCTCTCTCTGGTCTCGCTCTCTGGTCTCGCTCTCTGGTCTCGCTCTCTGGTCTCTCTCTGGTCTCTCTCTCTGGTCTCTCTCTCTGGTCTCTCTCTCTGGTCTCTCTCTCTGGTCTCTCTCTCTGGTCTCTCTCTCTGGTCTCTCTCTCTGGTCTCTCTCTCTGGTCTCTCTCTCTGGTCTCTCTCTCTGGTCTCTCTCTGGTCTCTCTCTCTGGTCTCTCTCTCTGGTCTCTCTCTCTGGTCTCTCTCTCTGGTCTCTCTCTCTGGTCTCTCTCTCTGGTCTCTCTCTCTGGTCTCTCTCTCTGGTCTCTCTCTCTGGTCTCTCTCTCTGGTCTCTCTCTCTGGTCTCTCTCTCTGGTCTCTCTCTCTGGTCTCTCTCTCTGGTCTCTCTCTATAGCTGTAGGTGATGTAGGTTCATATGTTTGTATGGGGCTCCACTTCATCTCATATCACTTACAGTATATCCTGTATTTTTATGTTATTTATCTTTAATTTAATTGTTTATGTGCTGCTCAAATGAATTGCCCCTGGTGAGATAAATAAAGTAGTCTGAATCTGAATTTAAAAACAGAGCAAAGGCAGATCATGGTAAAAACTGGAATGTGTTTCAGTCCATACCGAAGGGAGTCGTGGCTCTCTACCATTAGTTTTCCAACTTCTTCGTACGCTCCGTTCTTCAAAGCCTCAGCAGCTTGTTCCGTCCTTCGTATCTCTTCTGTTACATGCCATGCTCGCTTGTAAGTTACTGCGTCCAGTCGCTCTTTGGCCGCTGACGATCAGAATAGACCATCAGAACTTACAGTACAGACCAAAAGTTTGGACACACCTCACTCAGAGTTTTTTTATTTTCAAGATTATGAAAATAGTAGATTCACACTGAAGGCATCAAAACTATGAATGAAAACATGTGGAATTATGTACGTAAAAATAAAAACCAAACCAAGTGTAAATATGTGTTATATTCTGGTTCTTCAAAGTAGCTCCTTTTGCTCTGATACTGCTTCACTCTTGGCATTCTCTGGATGAGCTTCAACAGGACCGCACTTGTTGGCCCCTTCACCCTGTGGTCCAGCCCCAAAACCATCTGGACTGGGTTCAGGTCCAAAACCATCTGGACTGGGTTCAGGTCCAAAACCATCTGGACTGGGTTCAGGTCCAAAACCATCTGGACTGGGTTCAGGTCCAAAACCATCTGGACTGGGTTCAGGTCCAAAACCATCTGGACTGGGTTCAGGTCCAAAACCATCTGGACTGGGTTCAGGTCCGGTCTCTCTCCTTATTGGTCAAACAGCCCTTACACAGCCTGGTGCGGGTCTACAGCAATAGTCATGAAAAGACCTCAGTGAAGGAGAGAGGGTGTCCACACTTTTGGTTTGTACTGTACATGATGAATTATAGACACAGAGATGAAGAGATGAAGATGAAGAGATGAAGATTCCTCAGTATAACCCTCACAAACCTTCCAGGTCCGTCATGGAGGCGTCTCGCAGACTGGCCTTCCCCAGACTGACAGCCGCCTGCTCACACTGCCTTCGTCTGGTGGGATACTCACTGCCAGTCAGCGAGTGCTTTACGTTGGAATTAGTGATTAAAATGACGAGGTTGGTGTCCAGCAGAGGCACAAGCTTCGCCTCCATAGATCTGTCATAACAAATGCAGATATTTTAGAGATTAGAACCATTACCCAAAGGAATATTTTACGAAAGAATGATTGACAATTAGGAGCAAAGTAGAAAATTGTCCTATGTACATTTAATATGAGACATTTTAAGGATAATTTTACAACCTGCAGTCAATGAGCAGAGCGTGATCTTTTTGACCGAGAACAGAAACAAACTGGTCCATAATTCCACAGGGAACCCCAGCATGAGTGTGCTCTCCCTGCTGACAGGCTATGGCCTTAGCCACGTTATCACCGTCATCTGGAAACAGTACAAGTTGGTTATCCCATTGATAATCTGCTTATTTTAATATTAAGATAAGATAAGATACTTTAAATTCAGATTCAGATTAGGATTCATTTACTTGCCATTTGCAGTAAAACCACATTGGAAAAACTGTGCAAGACTACCCCGTAACTACCAAAACCTCGCTCCTCCAGACCTCACTGAACTTCTACAGCCCTCTCCCTCCATCTCAGGAACTCTCTCTCCCTCCATCTCAGGAACTCTCTCTCCCTCCATCTCAGGAACTCTCTCCCCCTCCATCTCAGGAACTCTCTCTCCCTCCATCTCAGGAACTCTCTCCCCCTCCATCTCAGGAACTCTCTCCCCCTCCATCTCTGGAACTCTCTCCCCTCCATCTCAGGAACTCTCTCCCCCTCCATCTCAGGAACTCTCTCTCCCTCCATCTCAGGAACTCTCTCTCCCTCCATCTCAGGAACTCTCTCCCCCTCCATCTCTGGAACTCTCTCCCCCTCCATCTCTGGAACTCTCTCCCCCTCCATCTCAGGAACTCTCTCCCCCTCCATCTCTGGAACTCTCTCCCCCTCCATCTCAGGAACTCTCTCTCCCTCCATCTCAGGAACTCTCTCTCCCTCCATCTCAGGAACTCTCTCCCCCTCCATCTCTGGAACTCTCTCCCCCTCCATCTCAGGAACTCTCTCCCCCTCCATCTCTGGAACTCTCTCTCCCTCCATCTCAGGAACTCTCTCCCCCTCCATCTCTGGAACTCTCTCTCCCTCCATCTCAGGAACTCTCTCTCCCTCCATCTCAGGAACTCTCTCTCCCTCCATCTCTGGAACTCTCTCTCCCTCCATCTCTGGAACTCTCTCCCCCTCCATCTCAGGAACACTCTCTCCCGCCATCTCTGGAACTCTCTCTCCCTCCATCTCAGGAACTCTCTCTCCCTCCATCTCTGGAACTCTCTCTCCCTCCATCTCAGGAACTCTCTCTCCCTCCATCTCAGGAACACTCTCTCCCTCCATCTCTGGAACTCTCTCTCCCTCCATCTCTGGAACTCTCTCCCCCTCCATCTCAGGAACACTCTCTCCCGCCATCTCTGGAACTCTCTCTCCCTCCATCTCTGGAACTCTCTCTCCCTCCATCTCAGGAACTCTCTCCCTCCATCTCAGAAACTCGGACTCTCTAAACTCCTTCAAAAAACAGCTCAAAACTCAGCTTTTCCTCCAAACATACGACTCTTAGTTTAAACTTTCTACCCTTATTTTCCACTCTTAGATTTTTAGTTTTTGTGTGTCTGTCTAAACGTGTGTGTGTGTCATGAATCTGTGAAGCGTCTTTGAGTTCTTGAAAAGCGCCATATAAAACCGTCCATCCATCCATCCATTTTCTTCCCCTTAATCCATTTCTGGGTCGGGGGGGTGGCAGTCAGAGCTGCACCCAGTCACAGAGCACCAGCCCCTCACTGATCCTCCTGCAGGTGCTGAGTCCACAGGAGCTGAGATCTTTCAGTGGGAGCTTCAGGCAAAGTGGGGTTAAGTGTCTTTCCCAAGGACACAACGACAGCAGTCATCAGTGGGAGTCGTGAAGTAGGTCTTACGGTGGGCTCGAACCCACAACCTTCAGGCCCAAAGGCCAATGCTCTACCAACTGAGCTACTGTCGCCCCATGATCTCTGATGTAGAAATGTACATGTCACATTTGGCACCGATAGAAACACTCAGATTGTGCAAAAAAGACAGAAGTGTGCGACACGTTAAAGGTCTGTGCAGGATATAATTATGTACAATGAAAAGTGGCATTAAAGAAACAGTGGCAATAACAGTGCAGGTGTTTCAGTCCGAGTGCATTAGTGACTTAGAGTGACTCACTGTCAGTGTTGTGCCAGTTCACAACTTTTCTGAACTAGTTCAAGTTCAGTTCATACATGCTCAAAGTGAACAGTTCACGTTCAAAGATAACAATTTTAATTCTGAACTAGTTCAAAATTCAGTTCATTTTCCTTTTTTTGTGAAATAGTCAAATAAATACTTTTTTTCACACTACGAGCTATAATATCATATATATATATATATATATATAAAATATATATATATGTATATATATATCTCCTGTACACCCACAGGAGGAGAGCCTTTTGACTACAAAACAGACCAGATTTACATGGTTTTCAATGGGAGCCAAACAGAGTTGCTCCATCTCTGCTCATAAACTACAGACAGTAATGCGCTGCAGTGCTGTGTCTGTACTTTATGCTCATAAACTACAGACAGTAATGCGCTGCAGTGCTGTGTCTGTACTTTATGCTCATAAACTACAGACAGTAATGCGCTGCAGTGCTGTGTCTGTACTTTATGCTCATAAACTACAGACAGTAATGCGCTGCAGTGCTATGTCTGTACTTTATGTCAAATGTAAACGGTGTAAACTTTGTCGCTAACTCACCCTGTGTTTTCATCACGACTCGGGCACATGTGAAAAGCACCAGCTCACAGGCCGCACCGCAACACAGAGTCAGGGTGCGTTCACAGACGGTGGAAACCGTAGGAATTTTTAGATTTTGGCGGAAAAAGTGCGAGAATACAGGAGGGAGGAACTTTCTCTTGTTGCGTTTTAAAAGAGAAAACAGATTCCAACGTTCATAGTGATGTCTGCCGTTCATGACACATAAAATTAACTAATTCACGTTCAAGTTCTTTTTTTAAAAATGTGTTGCGTTCAGTTCAACGTTCACAAAAAAATGAGCGTGTTCAATGAACGCGTTCACGCACAACACTGCTCATTGTACAGTCTGACAGCGGACTTTTGGAGCAGTACCTGGTTTCATTTGTTGTAGAAAAGTGTAGAAAGCCACCTCCAGAGAAGCAGAGCTGGATAGACCACCCCCGAGAGGGACGCTGCTCACGATCACGGCCCTGAACCCTGGGACAGGAGGAGCTGCAGGAATCACATCAAACACCCGATGTCATTATAACGTAGAGAGAAGAGCTAACAGTAAAGAGCAGGCATGGCAAACTCCGGCCCGCGGGCTAAATCCGGCCCGCGGGCTAAATCCGGCCCGCAAAACCATTCTTAGTGGCCCCTGAAACGATTTTCAATTATCATTTTATCATTATAACAGTAACTTGCAGCATTGATCGAAGTGGACACTAATCCCTCCTTTTCGAGTATCTACAACTGTTTCTCTTGTGTAGATAATATTATGATTTTGTATTGTGTAAACGTAACTCAGGGTCATTTATGCACAATTTTGATATTCTGCTTTTGTTTTTTGTCCATTTATTTGCTCAAAATGAACATGGCTTAGTAAGGGAAAAAACAACAATACAATTTTATCTGTTCTAAAATTATTACTGACATTTTAACCAATCAGATGTTAAGTTTATATAGTTATAGTTAAATATCTGTCTTCACTTACATCTCTTCTTGATATTTGGCAGAGAAAAAAAATGGTTGGTAAAAATGTATAAGAATAAATAATGATAATAAAGAATAACACTTTTATTTGGCCCCAACCTGCTTTTATGTTTTTAAATTTGGCAGATGGTTACGACTGCAGTTACCCATGATTCACCTCTGTAATGGTGGATAACTCCCTTGACATAGTTTGCCCATTTAGGTGCTCCAGAAACCAGACCGGTCTGCAGGTTGAAGTCCGCTCTCCGAGGCTGGTCTGCATCCTCGTTCATTGTTACTAAGCAAACATCAGGACCAGAGTTCTGTTTGCCGACAACCACCGTCACCATCGGAAGAGCCTTTGACGTTATAACAAACATGAAGACACGCAATTAGTTCAACTCAAAACCAGCCGTTAAACATGCAAAGCTCAAACTCTTTTTAATGTGTTCAAGTCTATTCTTACGGTATAGTCATGTTTACATTTGAAGGCTACACACATTAACAGTGCACTTTGAACCCTCCAGGCGCTATGGTATAGACTTAAGTTGTCAATATGTGGAACTGTTTAAAATGACCAATTCTGCCAAAATTCATTAAAACTCCTGCCACACAATGATTTCCACTGTTTTACTATTTCCTGACCCTTGAGTGTGGTACAGTGTGAGTTCTGTTTGTGAAATAAAAAAGTCTATATATATCATGAAAATCCACGTTTGCGAATGCCATATGAAGTCATAATATCCAAAGTATATGGGTACATTTAATTCCAACATAAACTTAGGGTCATTCTGATCATTTCTCTCATTTACATAAAGCCTCTATCTCTTTTCACTTTTAAGTTATTAAGAAATGAAGATGTCATAATTGAACCTCTTAGGAAAAAACTTCTGGCGCCTAAAGGGTTAATAGCAGTATCTTTTTGGCAGGAAAATAATGTGTCGTTCTTGAAAGTATTCAAGAGAAAAATGCACAATTGTTTGGTAGTTAAAATTTTTTTATTGATGTACTTTATATGGATACGTTTATATGGATGTGTTTTCTGCTGCTGGACACCCAAATCTGTCAATCCATCCATCCACCCACCCAACCTACCAACCAACCAACCCACCCACCATCAATCCACCCAACCAACTATCCACCCACCCACCCAACCAACTATCCACCCACCCACCCAACCAACTATCCACCCACCCAACCAACCAACTAACCATCCAACCACCCACCCAACTATCCACCCACCCAACCAACCAACTAACCATCCAACCACCCACCCAACCATCCACCCACCCAACCAACCAACTAACCATCCAACCAACTATCCACCCACCCACCCAACCAACTATCCACCCACCCAACCAACCAACTAACCATCCAACCACCCACCCAACCATCCACCCACCCAACCAACCAACTAACCATCCAACCAACTATCCACCCACCCACCCAACCAACTATCCACCCGCCCAACCAACCAACTAACCATCCAACCACCCACCCAACCATCCACCCACCCAACCAACCAACTAACCATCCAACCAACTATCCACCCACCCACCCAACCAACCAACTAACCATCCAACCACCCACCCAACCATCCACCCACCCACCCAACCAACCAACTAACCATCCAACCACCCACCCAACTATCCACCCACCCACCCAACCAACTATCCACCCACCCACCCAACCAACCAACTAACCATCCAACCACCCACCCAACCATCCACCCACCCAACCAACCAACTAACCATCCAATCACCCACCCACCCACCCAACCATCCAACCAACTATCCACCCACCCACCCAACCAACCATCCAACCAACTAACCATCCAACCAACTAACCATCCAACCAACTATCCACCCACCCACCCAAACAACCACCCACCCAACCAATCATCCAACCAACTAACCATCCAACCAACCAACCATCCAACCAACTAACCATCCAACCAACTAACCATCCAACCAACTATCCACCCACCCAACCAACCAACTAACCATCCAACCACCCACCCAACTATCCACCCACCCAACCAACCAACTAACCATCCAACCACCCACCCAACTATCCACCCACCCAACCAACCAACTAACCATCCAACCACCCAACCAACCAACTAACCATCCAACCACCCAACCAACCAACTAACCATCCAACCACCCACCCAACCATCCACCCACCCAACCAACCAACTAACCATCCAACCAACTATCCACCCACCCACCCAACCAACTATCCACCCACCCAACCAACCAACTAACCATCCAACCACCCACCCAACCATCCACCCACCCAACCAACCAACTAACCATCCAACCAACTATCCACCCACCCACACCCAACCAACTATCCACCCACCCACCCAACCAACCAACTAACCATCCAACCACCCACCCAACCATCCACCCACCCAACCAACCAACTAACCATCCAACCAACTATCCACCCACCCACCCAACCAACTATCCACCCACCCACCCAACCAACCAACTAACCATCCAACCACCCACCCAACTATCCACCCACCCACCCAACCAACTATCCACCCACCCACCCAACCAACCAACTAACCATCCAACCACCCACCCAACCATCCACCCACCCAACCAACCAACTAACCATCCAATCACCCACCCACCCACCCAACCATCCAACCAACTATCCACCCACCCACCCAACCAACCATCCAACCAACTAACCATCCAACCAACTATCCACCCACCCACCCAAACAACCACCCACCCAACCAATCATCCAACCAACTAACCATCCAACCAACCAACCATCCAACCAACTAACCATCCAACCAACTAACCATCCAACCAACTATCCACCCACCCAACCAACCAACTAACCATCCAACCACCCACCCAACTATCCACCCACCCAACCAACCAACTAACCATCCAACCACCCACCCAACTATCCACCCACCCAACCAACCAACTAACCATCCAACCACCCAACCAACCAACTAACCATCCAACCACCCAACCAACCAACTAACCATCCAACCACCCACCCAACCATCCACCCACCCAACCAACCAACTAACCATCCAACCAACTATCCACCCACCCACCCAACCAACTATCCACCCACCCAACCAACCAACTAACCATCCAACCAACTATCCACCCACCCACCCAACCAACTATCCACCCACCCACCCAACCAACCAACTAACCATCCAACCACCCACCCAACTATCCACCCACCCACCCAACCAACTATCCACCCACCCAACCAACCAACTAACCATCCAACCACCCACCCAACCATCCACCCACCCAACCAACCAACTAACCATCCAATCACCCACCCACCCACCCAACCATCCAACCAACTATCCACCCACCCACCCAACCAACCATCCAACCAACTAACCATCCAACCAACTAACCATCCAACCAACTATCCACCCACCCACCCAAACAACCACCCACCCAACCAATCATCCAACCAACTAACCATCCAACCAACCAACCATCCAACCAACTAACCATCCAACCAACTAACCATCCAACCAACTATCCACCCACCCAACCAACCAACTAACCATCCAACCACCCACCCAACTATCCACCCACCCAACCAACCAACTAACCATCCAACCACCCACCCAACTATCCACCCACCCAACCAACCAACTAACCATCCAACCACCCAACCAACCAACTAACCATCCAACCACCCAACCAACCAACTAACCATCCAACCACCCACCCAACCATCCACCCACCCAACCAACCAACTAACCATCCAACCAACTATCCACCCACCCACCCAACCAACTATCCACCCACCCAACCAACCAACTAACCATCCAACCACCCACCCAACCATCCACCCACCCAACCAACCAACTAACCATCCAACCAACTATCCACCCACCCACCCAACCAACTATCCACCCACCCACCCAACCAACCAACTAACCATCCAACCACCCACCCAACTATCCACCCACCCACCCCAACCAACTATCCACCCACCCACCCAACCAACCAACTAACCATCCAACCACCCACCCAACCATCCACCCACCCAACCAACCAACTAACCATCCAATCACCCACCCACCCACCCAACCATCCAACCAACTATCCACCCACCCACCCAACCAACCATCCAACCAACTAACCATCCAACCACCCACCCAACCATCCACCCACCCAACCAACCAACTAACCATCCAATCACCCACCCACCCACCCCACCCACCCACCCACCACCACCCACCCACCCACCCACCCCCCAACCATCCAACCAACTATCCACCCACCCACCCAACCAACCATCCAACCAACTAACCATCCAACCAACTATCCACCCACCCACCCAAACAACCACCCACCCAACCAACCATCCAACCAACCAACCATCCAACCAACCAACCATCCAACCAACCATCCACCCACCCACCCACCCAACCATCCAACCAACTATCCACCCACCCACCCAACCAACCATCCAACCAACTAACCATCCAACCAACTATCCACCCACCCACCCAAACAACCACCCACCCAAACAACCACCCACCCAACCAACCATCCAACCATCCACCCACCCAACCAACCAACCATCCAACCATTCAACCAACCACCAACTATCCACCCAACCTGACCTGTGACCTGGGAGGGGCATGTAATGCCTTAATGCGGACTGTTGTGTACTCTACCAGAAATACCACTGATAACATACTCAAAGAGGCATGATTGACCACATGTATGCGCCGCACTGACATTGAAGATATTAAAACTATGTTGAATTCGAGCTCAATTCATTCAAGAAAAAAAAGATAAAATAAGATAGAATATTAATCTCACTACTGGAGACATTTGACTCAGATTGTGCAAAAGACAGAAGTACGCAACATGTTAAAGGTTAAAAAATATAGTCTGTGCAGGATATAATTATGTACAATAAAAAGTGGCAATAACTGCAGGTTTTTTCAGTGCATTAGTGACTTGAAGTGACTCATTGTACAGTCTGACAGCGGTGGGGATGAACTAATATTAAAACTATTCTCAGATTTCTTTCCCTTTGCCTATTTTGAATGGGCTTTATAGATAGATAGATATAGATAGATAAAGATAGATAAAAAAAACTTCATTTGCAGACTCACGGTCCAGATCAACACCTTTGCATTTAATTTGGAGGGTAGAGTTGTAAAATGCAGTGATTACAAAGGTGTACCATGGGCAGCACGAAGCCGTCATTGTAGTCCGTGTGTTCCCCGATCAGGTTGACTCTTCCAGGGGCACAGGCGGCCAGCGAGGGCTCTTCTCCAAACTCCTGCACAAACTTCACCCGAGCCGCTTCCAGCAGCTCAGACACGGGAGGCACAACACTGGCCATGGTGCAGACCCTACAGTCCCAGCACGAGGAAGAAATATACTCGATTTAATATTATTACTTCCTATAAACAAATACCGGACAGACAGGAAACTCCTACGTGTGTGAGGAAACTAGTGTTTGAGAATTGGATGCGCCCAAAGTCAGGTGATTACTTTTGCAGACTATTCCTTACTTTCGCGTGATGTTATTAGAGAGACTTAATGAGAAAACCCAATGACAAGACATGCAATGGTTGTTAATATTACACATGTGTTTAAATAATCCACTTCAACCAACTAAACTGCTGTGTATTCTCCGATACAGAAGGTGGCAACATTTTGTTAGAAGTGAGCGGATTAAGGATTCTTTAAAACTTTGTAACTGTAATAAATGTGTTACTATTTGTACCCTTTAATTGTAATTTATATTGGAGACATGTTTGCCTGTGAGCACCGTTTGTAAATAAAGAAAAAAAAAACGTTGTAACTCAAAATATGTATTATATATAATATATTTATTATGTTCTGCTACTTGAATTTTGCCTTTTTATGCTCTGATTGTAATGCATGTTGGAGATTTGTAAATCTGTAAGAATCGTTTGTTAATAAAAAAAAAAAAAAAATTAACTTTGTAATTTTAAGATGGCTTTAATCTTTTGATTACATTGTACATTTTTTATTATATTCTACACTTGAGTTTTGCCTTTGTATGCTCTAATTGTCTAATTGTAAAAAGGATTTGTAAACCTGTAAGCATCGTTTGTCAATAAAAAAATAAAAATAAACTTTGTAGCTCTAAAATGGCTTATTATATTCTACACCTGACTATTTTCCTTTTCATGTTCTGATTATAATGTATTTTGTGATATGTAAACCTGTAAGCATCATTTGTTAATAAAAAATAAAAAAAACCAATACGGAAGCGGATCATTTACGTCACAGATCAGGCACCGATCTAACGATGTAGCACATTTAACGTATGCAATGGGTAAAGTTTACGTAAGCGTAGTCCTAACTAAATGATCTTATTAAGGACAGGCAAACATGACAAGTTAGTAGCATCTGATCTTAAAGCCACCGCGCCCACCAGGTTTGTTTTGTTGTGTTCTCTCAGCTGGAGCCAGACCCGTGTTGATCTGTAATATTAACCTGTGTTGTCACTCGCCCTGCGCCTGGCCCCGGGATGTCACCTCTGCAGCTGAGGACGGTGGTTTTTGTGGCGTGGGTCTTGTTCTACGTGGGACTGCTTCTCGCCGTGAGGAGGATGTGGTCCAGCAGGTACGCGCGCAGTCCCGTGGTGCGTGCACTGCTGGCGGCCAACAACAACGATGGGTCTCCTGAAAACGAAGAGGTGATTTTGAAACGCTTGTCTATGTTTAAAGGAGCAGTGTGTAAAAAATCTGGACAAAAGAGGTACGGCACTCTCCCTGACTCAGGTTGCCAGATATGCAGACGAATCCAGCTGGGACCATAACAGCTGAATAGACAAGAGTTTAGTCCACAGAGTTTATAGATCCACAACCAATCTATAACCAACACCTTTTTCACAAAGATAGAAATCCTGGTTTTATTCCTTGTTACAATACAATACAATACAATTTATTCTTGTATAGCCCTAGGTCACAACAGAAGTCATCTCAGAGACTTAACAAAACCATTGAAATCACCAACACAGGTCAGAGAATCAACAGTTAAAACACATGAAGAATATAAAGCACACACAGAAGAAAATGTCCATACATGTTGTAGAATGCTAAAGTGTCCTGATCATCACCAATCCTTTCTGTTGGACACTAACTGTCCAACAAGACCCTCCTGCATCGACAAGGAAAAACTCTTAAAAAACCCAGTGGGAAAAAGTGAGAAACCTTGGAGGAGAACTAGGGAAACCCACAGGGAGGGAGACCCATATGAGAAAGGGATCCGCTCCTCCGGACGGACAGGCTAATGATCCAGGACCTAAGCTAGCTACAGAACGTGGACCAGTGGACGCTGAACGTGGACAGGTCCGGTGCAGGACTGAAGCACTCCCAGGCGGGTCGGGCGGGGCAGTCCGCAGGTGTAGATGGAAGAGGCCAGGCTCAGAGATCCCGTCATCGTACCATGAAACAGACAATGGGACAACGGGTGAATAGCAATGAACAAACTACAGTCAAAATCCTAAAAATGCTAAACAGATAAAGTAGGAAGGAGGAGAGGATAGTGCTCAAGTTACCATACTTCTCCAGCAGGGGGCTCCCTCTGCAGCTTGACTGACAGTCTGAGGAGTTTAGCCTTCCCTGAGTCTTACCTTCCTAGCCATGTGCTAAACTAGTTTGTTTTGTCGTTAATGATTTGAGAATCATAACTAGACCTTTTTTAGTTCTGTGCCACATGGTACTTTACCAGTGAGATTAGCTCCACGCTGTGAGTTCTGGCGCCCGGATCACAGACTTTCTGATTGGTGAAACAGTGGAGGGCGGGACATCAAAATGAAAACAATAACAAGATTTAGAGGCTGTAAAAGTAATTTAAAAACAGTAACTGATTTTCCAAATATCAGCCATTTTGGACATAGTTGTAATATTGTAAACCAAACTAATCTTTGTAAGTGTAGGTGGGAGTTGAGGCTGTTTTCACTTATTTAGATATATATCGGGGAATGGTTGGGGAGGATTTGGGAGATCAGATTATCCTAATGTATTATTCATTCCTGTGTGTTCCAGTGGTATCAGTGTGTCCCGGACCAGCTGGGGAACAAACTACAGCAGCATTTTGTTCAAAGTAGTCTGGACCAAGACACCAAGGTTTTCCTCAGACTGAGCATGGAGAAGTCAGGCTGGCTCTTCACTCAGCTCTACCACTCATTCATGTCCACTGTCCTCAGCCCTGTCGTCTCACGCACCTCCATCAATGGGCAAGTTTTACTCTTTAACACATGATTAGCATAATGAAAAGAGTCATGTTCATGTCGTTAAAGAAAAGCTACAATGTTAGATTCAGGTTGTGTTTATGTTACATCAGAGCACGTCAAAGAGGGCAGCTGTTTTTATCCCCTGGTAACTATGGTAACTGTCCAAAGTCAGACTTCTAGGTTTATAGCTGTGATTATAAACAAAGCTCCACATCTTCTGTATCAGCACATGTCAACTATGGTCTGATTAAAGATGGACTAACTCACTTTGAGAAGCAGCTGTTTCAAATGTTTCTGCTCCCCTCCTGCACTCACAAAGCTATTGCCCCCCACTACCCCCACTACCCCCCTCCCCCTCAGCCTGTGCTCATGTGCTGTTGTTTACAGAGTTCACGTCTCACATGGACACACATGTGAACGTGGCGTGACCATAGAACGATAGAACCAGGAAGTGCGGAGGAACGAGACTTTCTTTTGTCTGTTTCTCTGAGTAAGCAGTCACCGATAACAAAGACACAGAAGTTTCAGGTTCACCTCCGCCGCTTGTTTACCTCAGCTGTCTGTGCTAACCACAGACCTGTCTGTGGTTAGCACAGACCTGTCTGTGCTAACCACAGACCTGTCTGTGCTAACCACAGACCTGTGTGCTAACTACAGACCTGTCTGTGCTAACCACAGACCTGTCTGTGCTAACCACAGACCTGTCCGTGCTAACCACAGACCTGTCTGTGCTAACCACAGACCTGTCTGTGCTAACCACAGACCTGTCCGTGCTAACCACAGACCTGTCCGTGCTAACCACAGACCTGTCCGTGCTAACCACAGACCTGCCCGTGCTAACCACAGACCTGCCCGTGCTAACCACAGACCTGTGGCTTTTCTCAAGAAAGTGGGGGCCAGTGGTCCGCTGTGATTGGTCACAATCTGGTCCTGAAACACATTCTCTTCTTGTTGCACAAAAACTCAATCTAAAATAAAATGTCGCTCCAGTACAAACCTGTGCTTCTTATTCTTCAAAAGGACGTTTATCCCACTGCACTGTATGGATATGGGTTGAATTTCCCAAAAGAATACAAAAATAAAGTGAGGTAGTCCAGCTTTAAATGAGTAAGTATTCTTTATTTATATAGCGCCTTTCACAGACCAGATTCACAAAGCAGTTTACAATTGTGGCCAGACCTTTTGTACTTGTTTTTAGTGATAGGGGAAACCTTAGAACCGGAGGAAACCTACACAGACACGGGGAGAACATGCAACTCCGCTCACAAAGGCCCTGTTCTGACCTGATTCGAACCGAGAAGCGAGAGTGCTAACCACTCAGCCCGCCCGGCAATTATTTTCTCACATCTCTGATCGTTGTTGTTGTATGTCCCTCTCCTGTCTTTTATGTCTGTGGTTCTTTTGTGTTCTATAAATACATATATAAAGCTTAATAATAACAGTCTGTACTTGACGTCACATCTTCAGGTTTCTAAGTCGTGGGTCCATGTTTGTGTTCTCGTCGGGGCAGTTCCAGCGCCTCCTCAGAGTGAGTCCAGACTGGAGAGCCGACCGACTGCTGGACCTGGGGGCCGGGGACGGGGGAGTGACTCAGATCATGGGCTCTCACTTCAGGGAGGTCTATGCCACAGAGGTCTCCCCCCCCATGAAGTGGCATCTCCAGAGGAAGAACTACAAGTGAGCAACCCAACTCAATGTAAACAAATTCAACTTGTACAGCAGGAATGTCAACGTCAAATACATCTGAGGCCAAAGAAATTAGAATTAGCTACAAGCCGAGGGCCGGATTGGTTCAACGTTCATTAAAACATATTCAAATTATGCTTATAACCTGTTGAACCAAGATCTATCATAGTGTAGTAATAATAATAATAATAATAATAATAATAATACATCAAACTTGTATAGCTCTTTTTTGGCACTCAAAGACGCTTCACACGGGGAATAAAATAAATAAAATAAAAATAAAAAGGGAGTTTACGGAAAAAATAGGTTTTAGTAATGATTTTAAGTTTGGTGCCCTGTATTTTATTATTAACTGAATAATCCAATATTTTATACACTTTTCAACAGCTCACAGACAGAAACAAACTTCCTTCAATGAGAAAACACATGTCCTGAACATTAAAATGATAATACCGTATTTTCTTATGGCTCTGTGCGGCCGGTTCTAATACTAATCCAACATCAACCCAAGGGCCAAGAAAATTCATTCGCGGGCCGCATCTGGCTCTCGGGCCTCGACTTTGACACCCCTGTTGTGTAGTGTTACTGTTAACTTAAACTTTCCAAATCTCATCACAGCAGCATTTACACCATACAGGGATAAAACCATGGCCTATTTCTGTGATATTACTCTGCTCTCTTGTGAATTGAATTGCTAAAATGATTCTAATTTCTTTGTCCTGGTTTGAATAGACTGCTGGGCATCGACGAATGGCACCAGACGGGGTTCAAATACGACGTCATAAGCTGTTTGAATTTGCTCGACCGTTGTGAGGATCCTCTGGCTCTACTTCGAGACATGCGCGACTCTCTTGTCCCCAAAACCGGCAGAGTCGTCCTGGCCGCGGTCGTGCCTTTCCAGCCGTATGTGGAAGTTGGTGAGGAGTTTGTAACTATACTTTATTCTGTACATGGCAGGACAGTCAGTCAAGTAAAGACCCATCTGTATTTTTATGTCTCTTTTTTTTAGGGGGACAGTGGCAGCGCCCTAAAGAACACTTAAAGATTTTGGGAAAAACATGGGAAGAGCAAGTGTCAAATTTATCCACAGAGGTTTTTGAAAAGACGGGGTTTGAGGTGGAGGCGGTGACCAGACTGCCGTACCTCTGTGAAGGAGACATGTACAATGACTATTACGTCCTCGATGATGCCGTCTTCGTGTTAAAACCAACAGCCAAAGATTTCCACTGAGCCGGAGCTTTGTGGAAGTTTTCATCAATGTCCTGTGGGTTTTGAACTCTGCTTCAGTACATTTTTTTTTAAACATTGAGTGAAATAAGTGCTTCTGCTGAACAACAACTTGGATCATGACGACTGTAGATTTGATGCTTTTACAGGTTTTTAAATTGTTATTTTTTTGCTCTTCAAGTGTCAATAATTTCAAGCATCAACACACGTTACATTAACTAGAATGTTGCTTGTCGTATTGTTTTCTGAGCTCTTTTCTATTGAAAATGAAGTATTATCAAGTTATTGATCAAATGGAACTCTATAGTAACTGCATTGCACCCAACAATCTTAACTTATTTTTGATCACTTAAGAATCACTGATATTCCAGGTGTGTGTGTGTGTGTGTGTGTGTGTATATGTGTGTGCATGTGTGTGTGTGTGTGTGTGTGTGCGTATATAATGAAATATCCATAATGCCATCTTTGTGTCACGTTTATGCTCAAATTCTGTTAAAGCAAAGGGTGAACAAATAAATGTTGGCATTTATAAAGTTTGTTATAACTTGCTTAGTGTCAACCTTTTTTATTTTGAAATCAAACCAGAAGAACACAAGAATCCTTTTGCTGTGGTGTCAGATGCCAGCTCAATACAATGTGTCTTTAATGTTTTGTAGCGTTTAGTGGCCAAACTTGCAGGTGCCAGATCCTGTCAGAACTCTGAAGCTGTGCAGGGCATGGTCTGGTTAGTGCTGTGATGGGAGACCTCTAGGAACACCAGGTGCCACAGTGGGGCAGCTGTAAAGTTGTGTCCTTGGGCAAGACACTTCACCCCCACATCTGGTGTGTGTGTGTGTGTGAATGGTTGGTGGTGGTCGGAGGGACCAATGGCACAGACTGGTTGCCTCGTTCCTGTCAGTATGCCCCAGGGCAGCTGTTTCTACAGTAGTAGTTATCACCACCGTGTATGAAGTGAATGAATAATGACATGTGTAGAGTCCTGAGAAACGCTGTAAAAACCAATGCATTATTATAATATTTAGTTTATTCTCCCTGTCTGCTCTGGCAGCTGTGGTCAGCCCTGCTCCTGTTAATGTGCGCATGTATTCTTTATTTATAATTATGGCCAGTGGGCTCATGAGTTGCACTTTGCTTCAGAAGTTGTGTGTGCAGGGTCGCGCCCTGATTGGCTGAGGCCCGCGGCACTGCTCGCTTCCCATTGGCTGGAGCTGCAGCAGCCACGTCCCTCAGCCACGTCGCGCTTTACTCGCCATTTTCCTCTAAATCTAGAATCTGTCTTTACTGCTGTTGTTACTTCTTCCATTTGACGTATAGAGGAGCCTGCCGTGTCCTAACAGTGTCAGTTAGCACAGGTCTGCGCCTGCAAACCCGGAAGCATGAACATCTTCAGGTTATCTGGGGATCTCTCCCATTTAGCAGCCATCATCATTCTGCTGCTAAAAATATGGAAAACCAGATCTTGCGCCGGTGAGTGGCTCTGTGGACTGAAATCAATCCATTTAACGTTGCCTTTTACGTAAACTGTGCTGTTTAATTCAAACATGACCCTGGGATTGAGCTACTATGGCAAGAAAATGTCATATTGTGTGTAAATGCATGAGCCGGGTCATGCTAATGCTAGCTCTGTGGCTAACTCAGGGTGCGCGTGCTGCATCTTCTCTGTCAATAGTCACTACAAGCATCATGAGTGAGAATGTGCATAGTCCGGTGGTTTAGACCCAGATACTAAACTAGTGGCTGTTATTCTGTGTCTGCACCTCTTTGAAACATGACGTCTGACGTGGCACCAACTTTGACAGCTGTATAGTTCTGCTTACTTCCTCAATGTTATCAACTTTCTAAAGAAGTGTTTATTGTGTTAAAACTTGAGCTTTTGCACTCGGCTGGGCCAAAGGTCAATAGATAATCAGCTGTCCATTGAACATATTGATTGCAATGCTCAGTAACGACAACGTGACAACTCTGAAAAGTGTCAATCAATCATTCTATAACATGCACAGCCCATGGAGGGCTCTGTCTGCTCTTAACCATCAGATGTGACACTTGTTATAACAGATACCCGTAATGACGTGTAAGGAACATGTGTTTGGGTGTTTGCAGGTATTTCTGGAAAGAGCCAGCTTCTTTTCGCCTTAGTCTTTACTACTCGTTATCTGGATCTGCTCACCGCCTTCATCTCGCTCTACAACACCACCATGAAGGTAAAACTTGAACAAAAGTTAAAGGTACTCTAAAAAGTATGATTGGGGTCAACCTTTCTCAGTCAGAACAAACCAATAAGATATAACTATTGTGTTCAAACCATTTAAACAGTTGGAGATTATAATACATTTCTCTAACACGCATTCCAATTCCAACGCACACTTCATTGGGTTCAGTCTAAAGACAATAATTAATTCATTAGAACTGTTTTTTCTCTTAGATGATCTACATCGGCTGTGCATATGCCACTGTCTATCTGATCTACGCAAAGTTCAAAGCTACATATGACGGCAACCATGACACCTTCAGAGTGGAGTTTCTGGTGGTTCCTGTCGGGGGATTATCATTCCTCGTCAACCATGACTTCTCACCACTTGAGGTAAAGTATTCAGTTTTAGTTTATTTCAAAGGGGACAATGCAATTTATTAAAACACATAATTAAACTTGAGTTAAAAAAAGCTAGATTAAACCAAAGAGACTGTTTTTTTTGTCTGTAGTCCCCTGGCAGTGACGTTAAAAAGCCATTAAAGACATTACGTCGCCCTCGGCCTCTGGGTTTGGTTGATAATGTTGTGGATCTGTGTGATTCAGATTCTGTGGACGTTCTCCATCTACCTGGAGTCGGTGGCGATCCTGCCGCAGCTGTTCATGATCAGTAAAACAGGAGAAGCCGAGACCATCACCACACACTATCTGTTCTTCCTGGGACTGTACCGAGCCCTCTACCTCATCAACTGGATTTGGAGGTTTTACTTCGAGGGCTTCTTTGACATGATCGCTATTGTGGCTGGAGTAGTGCAGACCATTCTGTACTGTGATTTCTTCTATTTGTACGTCACAAAAGGTGAGTGAGGATTCCAGGTTAAAGAGCGATTTAACATCTGTGTCCAGCCTGACTCCGCCCACATGAACATCTGAAAATGTTCTTTGAAAAGGGCGTTGCCAGAGGACCAGGGGACAAGAAGGGGGGCTTTAGAGGTGGGCGTGTCAAACAAACAAGAAACAGACAGTTGTTATTGCTGCTTAAATCAATAGTTTACACCAGAAAGTCTCATTACTTTGTTTACACACTAAGATAATTGTGAAGCTACACACATGAACTTAAGAAAGAATTCTCAGCACAAGTGGCTTCAACTGATGTAATTTAATGATTGTCCACAAGATGTCGCCAGAATACTCCAACTCGCTGCTGGGGTGTGTGACAGTTGGATGTTTTATACCACAGGCGCAGAGGCACACGTCACACACACCAACTGACGTCACACACACACACACACACTGACGTTACACACACACACCAACTGACGTCACACACACCAACTGACGTCACACACACCAACTGATGTCACACACACCAACTGACGTCACACACTCCAACTGACGTCACACACACACACTGACGTCACACACACACACCAACTGACGTCACACACACCAACTGACGTCACACACACCAACTGACGTCACACACACACACACACTGACGTCACACACACACACCAACTGACGTCACACACACCAACTGACGTCACACACACCAACTGACGTCACGCACTCCAACTGACGTCACGCACTCCAACTGACGTCACGCACTCCAACTGACGTCACGCACTCCAACTGACGTCACGCACTCCAACTGACGTCACGCACTCCAACTGACGTCACGCACTCCAACTGACGTCACGCACTCCAACTGACGTCACGCACACCAACTGACGTCACGCACACCAACTGACGTCACGCACACCAACTGACGTCACGCACACCAACTGACGTCACGCACTCCAACTGACGTCACGCACACCAACTGACGTCACGCACACACCAACTGACGTCACGCACACACCAACTGACGTCACGCACACCAACTGACTCACCACTCCAACTGACGTCACGCACACTCCAACTGACGTCACGCACACACCAACTGACGTCACGCACACACCAACTGACGTCACGCACACACCAACTGACGTCACGCACACACCAACTGACGTCACGCACACCAACTGACGTCACGCACACCACCAACTGACGTCACGCACACACCAACTGACGTCACGCACACACCAACTGACGTCACGCACACACCAACTGACGTCACGCACACACCAACTGACGTCACGCACACACCAACTGACGTCACGCACACACCAACTGACGTCACGCACACACCAACTGACGTCACGCACACACCAACTGACGTCACGCACACACCAACTGACGTCACGCACACACCAACTGACGTCACGCACACACCAACTGACGTCACGCACACACCAACTGACGTCACGCACTCCAACTGACGTCACGCACTCCAACTGACGTCACGCACACCAACTGACGTCACGCACACCAACTGACGTCACGCACACCAACTGACGTCACGCACACCAACTGACGTCACGCACACCAACTGACGTCACGCACACCAACTGACGTCACGCACACCCAACTGACGTCACGCACACACCAACTGACGTCACGCACACCAACTGACGTCACGCACACACCAACTGACGTCACGCACACCAACTGACGTCACGCACACACCAACTGACGTCACGCACACACCAACTGACGTCACGCACACACCAACTGACGTCACGCACACCAACTGACGTCACGCACACCAACTGACGTCACGCACACCAACTGACGTCACGCACACCAACTGACGTCACGCACACCAACTGACGTCACGCACACCAACTGACGTCACGCACACCAACTGACGTCACGCACACCAACTGACGTCACGCACACCAACTGACGTCACGCACACCAACTGACGTCACGCACACCAACTGACGTCACGCACACCACCAACTGACGTCACGCACACCACCAACTGACGTCACGCACACCACCAACTGACGTCACGCACACACCAACTGACGTCACGCACACACCAACTGACGTCACGCACACACCAACTGACGTCACGCACACACCAACTGACGTCACGCACACACCAACTGACGTCACGCACACACCAACTGACGTCACGCACACACCAACTGACGTCACGCACACACCAACTGACGTCACGCACACCACCAACTGACGTCACGCACACACCAACTGACGTCACGCACACACCAACTGACGTCACGCACACACCAACTGACGTCACGCACACACCAACTGACGTCACGCACACACCAACTGACGTCACGCACACACCAACTGACGTCACGCACACACCAACTGACGTCACGCACACACCAACTGACGTCACGCACACCACCAACTGACGTCACGCACACACCAACTGACGTCACGCACACACCAACTGACGTCACGCACACACCAACTGACGTCACGCACACACCAACTGACGTCACGCACACACCAACAACTGACGTCACGCACACACACCAACTGACGTCACGCACACACCAACTGACGTCACGCACACACCAACTGACGTCACGCACACACCAACTGACGTCACGCACACACCAACTGACGTCACGCACACACCAACTGACGTCACGCACACCAACTGACGTCACGCACTCCAACTGACGTCACGCACACCAACTGACGTCACGCACACCAACTGACGTCACGCACACACCAACTGACGTCACGCGCACACACCAACTGACGTCACGCGCACACACCAACTGACGTCACGCGCACACACCAACTGACGTCACGCACACACCAACTGACGTCACGCACACACCAACTGACGTCACGCACACACCAACTGACGTCACGCACACCACCAACTGACGTCACGCACACCACCAACTGACGTCACGCACACCACCAACTGACGTCACGCACACCACCAACTGACGTCACGCACACCACCAACTGACGTCACGCACACCTCCAACTCACGTCACGCACACACACTGACGTCACGCAGTATTACAGAGCCAATGAGAGGCCAGGACAAAATTCAAATGTAGTACCACCAAAAAGGCAGAGAGGGCGCCACACAGAGGGTTTTAGACTCAAAGTATGATTTGATCTAATTTGCACTAAAATGTCAAAAGAATGACCAGGACATGTAGAAAGCACTATAAGAAAGGTATTTATGCAGTTCATGAGTTAAAAAAAGTAGATTTTGGGGGTAGTTGTCCTTTAAATAAAAGTTTCTTTCCATCACCACTGTTCCAGAGAGTTCAAATAGAATCCAGTGCAAATGTAGTTTGACAATCCCCACAACTGATTTATATAAACTCTTTTCACACCAATATCAGTGATGTCCTTATTTTAAAGGTTATTTTACAAGTTTCAGGTGTTACTGATGCAGAGCTCTTTTCAGGATATATATAGCAGCAAATAAATCAAATGCATGTATACAGCATGAGGAATCCTATTTTAGCTCTTTTTTAAAATAAAATATCATTTCAATAAATCAGTCACAGCAAAATATATAAAATTCATAAATCAACCTTCATTTTTCTGAATGTAAAATCATTATGTGTATTATATATTTCTTATTCATGTCTTTTCATGTTTACTCTTTCAGTGCTGAAAGGAAAGAAGCTGAGCCTTCCAGCTTAAGTGCCAAAGGAGAGTGCTGTGTCAGACTCAGAGGGAGTGGAGAGAGACCCACCTCCACCCCCTTCTCTGCCCCCTTCTCTGTTCCTAAACCTGAGGCAAGATGCCTGAGACGGAGCGCCTCCTCTGGACGTCAACAGCATCTGTTTGATGCATCTTGCCTTAACTTTTTTATCACCCTGTATAAAAAAAGGCTGAAATATGAGATTTTTTGTACATTCACTCGCGTTGTTAAGGTCCTGGCTACACTTACATTAATGTTTAGTTTTATTACCTAAACCATTTACCATTTACTTTTATTCAGGTAGGATGGGGTATTTTGTCTGATAGATGTATATATTATTTGACTTGGCAGGTAATGGCATAAAGAACATATTTTTAATTTTGTCATTGAAACACGACTGCACATGTTCTTACTACGGGAGAATCGTTAGACTAAAGCCTCCGTCGCAGTCCATGTGTAAAGTTTTCTCCTTTTATCGTGGGATAATATATTACAACCATTAGCAATGTGGAAGAGACTGCCATAGTGAATACAATTTGCATGTACTAGATGTTTTATAAATGTAAGACAACAATCATTTTAAGAAGGAGGAAGAACACATCTCTTTTATAAAGAAAAGTGTAAATGTAGGTGTAGCCGGGCCCATTTTCTGATGTATAATGTTCTGATTTGGCACTGTATAAAATCTGAAGAGGACTTTTTTCCCACAACGTCATAGTATTTGTATACATACAGTGCTTCTGGGGTTGGCCTGTTATTTCATCAGGTTATTTTTTGTTTTTTTATTTGCAGTATGCATTCCCAAGTTTAAGGACCTCCTAAATTGACTTTTTGATGCACAAGTTAGGCTATTGAACAAAGACAAACCTTATATTTAAGTCTCCACCTGTTGCATTCTATTTCATTCTAAAGAGGATCAATTTTTTGTCACCTATTTACAAAAATAGAAGGATGGCCAATATTTTACATAGTTCTGTAATTCATCCAAATGCACCTTTGTTTTGTGAATTCAACTAACAATTTTCTCTCTGAGGGACAGATGTATTTATTTTTTCTCGTTTCCAATAAATGGTGCATAATGGTTTCTCTGTCTATTCTTTGTCTATTCTAGTTTCTAATATTTACAGTAGATTTATTACTGTTGTAAATATTACATGTAAAAGAGTTTCTATATTGTTTAAAAGTGTATTATATTGTACATCACATTAAAACACGTATTAATAATTAATAAATACCGGTTTTTCTAGTTTTAACTATTATTCTAGTCTACTAATAATAACTATAGCATATTTTGTTTTACTCTGGAGTTTATTTCTAAGTAAGCAAAGACACAATATACATAATATATGGTATCACTGATATTTTTAGCACCACTTATTGGGCCAAGTGTATCTATGGGATTAGACCTAAAAAGAGACCTCGGATGTGTTATAATAAACCTTGGGGGACAGAGCCTTTGTCATTTCCGCCCCAACCCTCTGGAACTCACTCCCACTGCCCATTAGAAACTCTGACTCACAACCAAACTTTAAATCAGTACTTAAAACCCATCTGTTCAAACAAGCTCTTCCGTAAACCCCCTTTTTTATTTTATTCCCCATGTGAAGCGTCTTTGAGTGTCCAAAAAGCGCTATACAAGTTTGATGTATTATTATGAAACAAACTGACAGTTCAAGGGGGCGGAACTATTGAAATGTCTTTGTTCTCCATCGGACTGTTGATCCCGGTGCAATAGGGACAATCGTTGACGCACAAAGATTATCCGCAAAGTCCGGGCTCGATTTCACTCAGAAAAAGCACTCACTGAAGACTCATTTGAAGTGTTTTATTCATGTTTGTAACTTGAACGTCGGGATGGAGAAGAGAGCGTCCGTGTTGCCAGGTAAGTTTGAAAAGGTTGTAAAACATGTCTAGCTAGGCCGCAGCAGAGCGCGCGCGGGAATAGCATTGCTAATTCTGTGAAACCAGGAAATACACGTGTTTACAGGAGTGGACAAAACACGCGGTGCACATGTATTTACCCAGATCAGATGTGGTGAAAATGTGACACTTCTACATTTAACAGAGATGAATAAACACGAGCAGCATGTGACATCGGCTGTGCTAGCTTGTTGCTTGTTGACGCCATGTTTAATAAGTAACTAATCCCCAGGAATGACTAAAACTGTTTTAACGGCTTTTTTTTATCTGTTTGCTCTTTCTTTGGACTTCTTATTGATTCTAGATTACAGACGTCTACTTTCTAATACTTTATCCTGCCTCCACCAGTGCTTAAAGAGCGACTAAACACCAAATCAACTTTTTTTTAACTCATAAACTGCATAAATGTTTATTGTAGTGCTGTCTACATATCCTGGTCATTTTTTTGACATTTTAGTTCAAATTAGATAAAATATCACTTTTGAGCCAAAAAACGCTGTGTGGCGCCCTCTCAACCTTTTTGGTGGTACTACATTTGAATTTGGTTCTGGCCTCTCCATTGGCTCTGAAGTTCTCTATGACATCAGTTGTTTTGTGTGACGTCAGTCTGTCAGAGCCAGTGATATAAACCCATTCAACTCTCACACACGCCCCAGCTGCAGTTTGGAGTATTCTGGCGCCATCTAGTGGATTAAAATCAAATTACATGAGTCATTCTGAGATTATTGAGTGTGATTAGGTTCAGGTGTGTAGCTTTACAATTATCTTAGTGTGTAAACAAGGGTGGAATGAGACTTTCTGGTCTGTAAACTATTGCTTTAAGCAGCAATGACAACTGTCTGTTTTTTTTGTGTGTGACAAGTGAGCTGTCAATCACAGCCCAGACCACGCCCAACTCTAAGCCCCCCTTCTTGTCCCTTGGTCCTCCAGGCAACGCCCTTTTTAGAGAACATTTTCAAATCTTCATGTGGGCGGAGTCAGGCTGAGCACAGGTGTTTAGTCGCTCTTTAATCTAACCATTATCGTAACCTCACGCAAATGTGGAAAAAGTCCAAATTAAAGCTGGAATACCTAACTTTTATGTATCCCTGCTAAACCTATCGTTTAATAATCAACCTGTTGTTCGCCCCAACAGAAGTCTTGTCAAAGTAAAACGCACTCTCTTCGTCTTATTAGAAAACATTTAATTATTACATGTGTCCCTGTAAGAAGGAACGCTATGAGTCACTATTTGACGCTTTAGGCTGAGAAAGTTTTTCACTTCTGTTTGTATAAGCAGGTCTAAAGATGTGACAGGCTAAATGACATGCCTTTAATTGGACCGAACTAGTTTTTGGTGGGCTAAACTAATTAAGCACCCCAGCTTTTATGTTATTATGTTACAATTTTTTTTAATAATAACAAATATTTGCTATTGATTATTTGGAGATTGGCAATATTGTAACTTATTATAGTCTATCATAGGTCGCTTATGTAAAACTGTTTTACAAGGAGCAGATTTTCCCACATTTTAGGCAAGAACCGCCCCCTCCGTTTTTTGACAAACACTTATCACCAGAATGATTGACAGTTAGGAGTACCAATAGTCTTGATGATCCAACCTTTTTAAAATGGCTGTATGTGTTTTTGTTTTTCCTTCAGGCTCCTCTCTTTCCCTGTCCTACCTCCGGCTCTTGATTCCGCCTCATCGGTTGATCTCAGCCGCGATTTGGCAGACAGTGGACCAGAAGATTATCTCTGACTATGGCCTTCTGGAGGAGTTTGTGTTCAGGGTGACTGAGATAGTTCCTGAACTTCTTTCAACAAGGCAACGTGCAGAACTGATCATGGGCCTCAGAGCACGGGTAGGAAGCACTTTTCTTACTGTGTGTCAAATGTATCATGTCTGGGCTGTATTTTCATTTTGGCTAGATTTCTGTCTGTTTTGAGTATTATTTTTTTTTGCCGGTCAGTGCCCCTGGTCCAACTCTGCATCAGGTTTGCACATGGGTCTATGGGGGTTACAACTCCTATGTGACCAGCAGCAGAGTTTGAATTAACTTCTGCAGTGACTTGAAAAGGCTCAAGCGCTTTAGTAATAATAATAATAATGCATCGGTTTTATATAGAGCTTTTCTGGACACTCAAAGTCTCTTCACATGTGTCATTATTCATTCACTCCATACACGGTGGTGATAAACTACTACTGTAGCCACAGCTGCCCCGGGGCACACTGACAGAAGCGAGGCAACCAGTCTGTGCCATCGGCCCCTCCCACCACCACCAACCATTCACACACACACCAGACTCATTCTAGGCAATGGGGGTGAAGTGTCTTGCCTAAGGACACAACGGCAATTTGGCACTTTACAGCCGCAGCCGCCCCACTGTGGCTGCTGTTCCCAGAGGTTAAGTGTCTTGCCAAGGACACAACAACAGCAGACAGTGGGAGTAGTACTTCACTTTAGCAAAAATCAAAACCAGGAAGTGACCAGGACTGAAACCTGAGCATTGCATTATGAGTGGATTAAACCGCAGCAGGTTGAAGTCTTGACTGTTTGGAAAGTGAGAACATCATAGAACAAGCACTTTTCGTCTTCTCCCTGGGAACAGACCAGCGTTGTGTCAGATGTGGGTCAGGGATGGGGCGTTGTATCTCAGAATCAAACGCACCAAAACTCAGGCCCTGTTTAAAACTTCTGGTGTCCTTTCTATCTCACAGCTGATCCTAGAACTGTGTCGTTCGGAGGATACTGCTCAGATCCAGATTGTCCAGCCTCATTTGGACCGAATGCAGGAACTGGAAACCCTGTGGACCGTGGTGGTAAGATGTTAGCTCATATGTATTTCACAGTCCGCTGATTCAGAGAGTAAGCATTTCTTTATCATTCCAGACTCCAAATGTAGAGAATGAAGAATCTGAGTCTCACTTCATGGCTCTAGTTAAAAACCTGCTGAGCAACACAGACGAGAGGAGGAACTTCTATAATGTAAGTTAACCTCATTCTCATTGTGATGCAGCTATTGATTATTATTAGTAATCTGCTGACCCTTTTATTAATCGTGTAATAAACACACTTGTATAACATGTATAATCGTGTAAATATAACATTTTAAGCTTATATATATATTCAGTATTTTCGCTCGGTGACTTATGGTGTGATTAGTGCCACATCTTCTCCTGGTTTTATGTCGTTTTACTAATAAAGTGAATAATTGAGGCTTTGACATTTGAATCCATCAAATAGTTTCAGCGGTTCTGCAAATGTAATATTTTAATGATTTTTGTTTATACTTTTTTGTTTACACTGTTTTTTTTGTTTGTTTTTTTATTGTGTTTGTCTGTTTTGTTTTTTGCTTTATATTATTTATATTACTTAATTGCATTTAATTACCTCGTTTTCTCACTTGTGCCATTGCCTGAAATAAATTAATAAATGAAAATGAAAAAAAAATGAAAATTATAACTTGTTTTTAGGATATTTTCCCTTGTGACTTTGGTCCAACGTATGACAAGGCGATCCAAACTCTGATGTGGCTGTTTCTATCTCGACTTGAAAAGCTGCTCCCAGTTCAATCCCTGCAGCAGGTCCGTTCCGTTGTTTTTTTATTGTTCATATTTGACATTACGATGGTAGTAAAGTTTCTGTGTCTTGTTTGGTTCAGATTGCATCGCTTCTCGGTGACCCCTCCTGTGTCCTGAATGAATATATGGAGTCTTTCTCGGATCCTGCAGAGCTCAAACTTTTGCTCGACACTTACAAAGACCTCAGTCAATTAGAAAATATTGGTGAGTTTTCATACAATTCACTCAATACTGACTATGACCAGATGGTGTTATGTTTTAGATTTAACTTTAGCGTCTGTTTACTGCTGTCGAAAAGTAGTCTATTGAATTGATGTGACTTAGGAGTGGGCAATATAAATCGTAGACCATAATATCAAAGCAAAAGTGAATTTGAAGATTCGCATTATCGTCTCCAAATGCGTCCCTAAAAAGCCAGTCACTGCTTTATTTGTACACTTCAGTGAAGGTGTTACTTGAATTTGGTTTTTAATGTCAATATATGTTTGTACATGTTTTGCAAAGATGTGTGAAGCACTTTACAAATGAAAAGATCAAATAATTTAGATATCACTGTCTATCTATAGATCAGATCAGATTCATTTGCCCCGGCAAGATGCCCCGGCAAGCAAAGCTATTTTGTGATAAAGTGTGCTATTGTGACGTTATCGGGAGTTGGGGAAAAAAATATTGAGATATACATTTTTGCCCATATTGCCCACCCCTAATGTGACTTTAAACTCACCATTTTCCCGCTTGTCTTTCAGATTGTCTCGTGGTGGAAAGTGGCATTTTATCAGCCTTATGTCTGCCGTCAGAGGACCGCGTGTTAATTGTTAGTGCTCAAGAAGTGCCAGATTCTGGGGGTGCCGTAGAGTATTCAATTGAGATGGAGGTGGAGTCCGATCAGAAAGTCTTGGTTGGATCGAGCTCTGAGGGCGTGGTCCAGTCTCCGTGGGTGGATCTGGGAAATGAAGTTAAATCTGAAGTGAATGAGGAAGTGGTGCATTCAGTGGACAATCATCACTCTGATAAAAGTGACTCATTTGTTATTGGAGAAGACGGGCAGGTGACTGTGCTGGAGGAGCAGGCCAAGAGGCGCCGTGGCCGTCCCCGAAAAGCTCCTCAGGATGAAGACTTTGAAGTGAAATTAAACAAGGAACAGCTGGAGGACCCGGACTTTGTGCTGGGGCAAAGACCAGTGCGAAAGAACCGTGGTTTAAAGATGAAGCGTTTACTCTCTCAGTGGAAAAGAGCAAAGACAAAGGGCTCGAACGACGCCGAAAGTGTCTCTACATCTGAAAGTGGAGACCAGGCCGAGAGAACGTGCAAGGTCTGCGGGACGGTGATGACCCACCTGAAGCTGTTGGACCGCCACATGAGCCAGCACGTGGATGAGGCCCCGTACTCCTGCTTCTCCTGTGAAAAGGTTTACAAAAGTCTGCGATTTCTACAGAAGCATAGATGTTCAGGTGTCGCAAAAGACAAAAACGAACAGCCAAACACAGACGCCGATGGCCAAGAGGGGGCAGACGTGGATGAGGCTGATGAGGAGATGGACGTGGGCGAAGACGGCAAGACGGAAGGGCCTTTCTACTGCCCCCAGTGCCGCGTGGAGTTCAAATGTAGGCAGACGTTCAGATTTCATTTAAGAAATATCTGTTATGATGAGCAACAGGTGGATCCGGAGAAGACTGAAGATGACAAGCATTGTTTCAAATGTGATCAGTGCGACAAAGCCTTCAAATACAAGTCCACGTTGGACTCTCATAAACAAACGCACAACCCCCTGTATTGCCACGCCTGCATGAAGCTGGTCCGGGACTCGGACGCTCTGGCGCTGCACAAAGAGTCTCACACTCCATTTCAATGTAATCAGTGCGAGGAGAATTTCCCAGTGTTCAAGGCTCTTCACAAACACTACGTGGACGTGCACAACCTCACGGAGCCGTACACCTGCGCTCACTGTCAGACCACTTTCGTCAGCCTCAAACGCTTTATACGTCATGAGTGGAAACACACGGGGTACCAGCCTTTCCAGTGCCCTCAGTGTGTGAAACGATTCAGGTCCTACTCTGACCTCGTGGAGCATCAGAGGAAACACACCAAAGCTTATCCATACCTCTGCTGGGAATGTGGGAAAAAGTTTCGTCACAGTTTGACGTTGACGAGGCATGTGGCGAGAGTGCACCACTCTGGAGAGACTGTCCTGGAGAAGCCCCCTGCGGCCTTCGCCTGTCATCAGTGTGGGAAGATGTTCACCTCCAGAAGATGTTTGCTTAAACACGATAACTTCCACCACAAAGGTCTGCGCTTCCCCTGCGAGTTCTGTGGAAAGGGATTCTTTGGGAAAGATGCATTAGTGAGGCACACTCTGATTCACACCGGAGAGAGGCCGTTTAAGTGCGATGACTGTGACAAGTCCTTCAGGTCGTTGGCAGAGCTAAAAATCCACCGGCGCTACCACACTGGTGAACGGCCTTTTAAATGCACAATCTGTCAGAAGGGCTTTGTTCAGTCGTGCTTCCTGACTCTGCACATGCGATCACACACAGGAGAGCGGCCGTATGTCTGTGCCGTCTGTAGCAAAGGCTTCACAAGCCTACATGGGTTAAAGCGACACAGGAGGCTGGTTCATACATAACTAAGGTTAATTATCTTTAATATACAATTGTTTTATATGCCCAATAAGCAGCCAAGTTTAAGCTTAGAAAGTGGATAGTCCCACTGCTTTTCTGCAGCCACTGTATGGCTGCCAGCTCTTACACTGCAACAAATGATATTTGTGTAGTTTTGGAAAACTTAACATTTTTATGAGAGTTTGATGTGATTCTACATATTTGTATGTATGAAAGAAATTTAACTGTGGTTCCTTTTTGGGGAATTAAAATAATTTTGATTGGACAATTTGTTTACTTTTTTATTTAAGTTTTAAGGGTGTTTAGCCTGAAGGCATTAAATAAGCCTTATTGAATCGGGAAGAGTTGTGGCTATATAAAGCAGATATTGCGACAGGACTTGTTTCATATAGATTTAAAAGGTAATCACCCCAGATGGGACTCGAACCCACAATCCCTGGCTTAGGAGGCCAGTGCCTTATCCATTAGGCCACTGGGGCTGCGAACCCCTCCAGTATCTATTAATTTTAAAAAACCACTCGGTAATAACTATAGACAGATCTCCATCTGACACGTGCTTATACATGATAATTATAGTTTATGCCAGTAGTATTTTATAATAAAACGTATTTAACCATCTATTGCACACTAAAGTACTGTTTACTTTCATATATTCACTAACTGACGTACTCACCACAGTAAAGGTTATTCCTGTGGATTATTATACTATAATAATGCAAATATTGGGTGTTTCCAACCGTTGCGAACGCAAACAGGAACCAGGCGGATGTTTTCCTGGTGTGATCCATGGTCCCTGGTTCCTGGTTCCTGGTCCCTGGCAGCTGACTGACTGTGAGGCAATGGTGCTCAGATAGATTAACTCCACAACTTTTACTTTGCCTTTTATAATCCTCTGCATTCGTGAGATTTGTTTAAGATAATGAATTTACTGCCGTCGAACCCACACGGGAACGGGCTTCTTTATGCTGGGTTCAACCAGGACCACGGTGAGTCACTGCTGCAGCCGGAGATGCTAATGCTAATGCTAATGCTAATGCTAATGCTAACGCTAACGCTAACGCTAATGCTAATACTACACAAACAACACATATACACACAGTAAACGTGAGTAGGTTTTTGACATCGGGTGTGAAATGTGTCTCAGGACAACGGCAAAGGTCTGTGTTTGTTCAAGACTAGAGTTAGAACTAGCTTATTATGCTAATGCTAATGCTAATGCTAATGCTAGCTCCCTTAGCTCTCTCTATTTTCTTCTATAGCGTTAGTCATGACAACAGTTTAATATTTGTGTATACAAGTGAGCCGTAACACAATCAGCCAGTATGAGACAGTGCTGTGTGGACTTACAGCTGTTGTAGAACACGTTAAATGTTAAAATAAAAGGTTCCTCAATTTGAGTTTTTCAGCTGCTGACATGATTCTCTTAAATTTACAATAATAATGACGTTGTTCAGCCTTTCTTATAGTTATAATAATGTAAACTGTGATTTAAATGATACAGATTGAATCCATATAGACTCATTATTAGATGTTTATGTTAATGGTCCTGGCTCAGGTTCACACTTAGATGAACCCTCACATGACCAGGTTTTAAAACATGTTCACCACAGCCAAAGGGAACCTCCCTCCTGTTACTTATCCATATGTTACTTATCCATATGTTACTTATCCATATGTTACTTATCCATATGTTACTTATCCATATGTTTTCATGTTATCCATATGTTACTTATCCATATGTTACTTATCCATATGTTACTTATCCATATGTTACTTATCCATATGTTACTTATCCATATGTTACTTATCCATATGTTACTTATCCATATGTTACTTATCCATATGTTACTTATCCATATGTTACTTATCCATATGTTACTTATCCATATGTTACTTATCCATATGTTACTTATCCATATGTTACTTATCCATATGTTACTTATCCATATGTTACTTATCCATATGTTACTTATCCATATGTTACTTATCCATATGTTACTTATCCATATGTTACTTATCCATATGTTACTTATCCATATGTTACTTTATCCATATGTTACTTATCCATATGTTACTTATCCATATGTTACTTATCCATATGTTACTTATCCATATGTTACTTATCCATATGTTACTTATCCATATGTTACTTATCCATATGTTACTTATCCATATGTTACTTATCCATATTTCTATCCATATGTTTCTTATCCATATGTTTCTTATCCATATGTTACTTATCCATATGTTACTTATCCATATGTTACTTATCCATATGTTACTTATCCATATGTTACTTATCCATATGTTTCTTATCCATATGTTACTTATCCATATGTTACTTATCCATATGTTACTTATCCATATGTGTTACTTATCCATATGTTACTTATCCATATGTTACTTATCCATATGTTACTTATCCATATGTTACTTATCCATATGTTACTTATCCATATGTTACTTATCCATATGTTACTTATCCATATGTTACTTATCCATATGTTACTTATCCATATGTTACTTATCCATATGTTACTTATCCATATGTTACTTATCCATATGTTACTTATCCATATGTTACTTATCCATATTTTACTTATCCATATGTTCTTATCCATATGTTTCTTATCCATATGTTTCTTATCCATATGTTACTTATCCATATGTTACTTATCCATATGTTACTTATCCATATGTTACTTATCCATATGTTACTTATCCATATGTTACTTATCCATATGTTTCTTATCCATATGTTACTTATCCATATGTTACTTATCCATATGTTTCTTATCCATATGTTTCTTATCCATATGTTACTTATCCATATGTTACTTATCCATATGTTACTTATCCATATGTTTCTTATCCATATGTTACTTATCCATATGTTTCTTATCCATATGTTTCTTATCCATATGTTTCTTATCCATATGTTACTTATCCATATGTTACTTATCCATATGTTACTTATCCATATGTTACTTATCCATATGTTTCTTATCCATATGTTACTTATCCATATGTTACTTATCCATATGTTACTTATCCATATGTTTCTTATCCATATGTTTCTTATCCATATGTTACTTATCCATATGTTACTTATCCATATGTTACTTATCCATATGTTACTTATCCATATGTTACTTATCCATATGTTACTTATCCATATGCTGTAGTCGGGGCTGGAGAGTCACGCCTTTGCCCGTGTTTGTGCAGGATGCTTTGCCTGTGGGATGGAGAATGGATTCCGAGTCTACAACACTGATCCTCTCAAAGAAAAGGAAAAACAAGGTGAATCTCATGGGGCTGTTTGGAGGAGAGTGGAAACATAAACATAACATAACTTTACAGATTAAAATGACCCGGCATCATGTTGATAACAATGTATCATGCAGTAGACTAGTGGAAATATTGTGTAAATCTGTTTTTTTCATGTGTTTCAGAGTTCCTCGAGGGTGGAGTTGGGCATGTGGAGATGCTATTTAGATGCAATTATTTAGCATTGGTTGGTGGAGGAAAGAAACCAAAGTATCCAACCAACAAAGGTTAGCATCTGCTTGTCTCCCTGTGTTTATCCAATCAATCCACTTTAAAAACACATGGAGAAAATGGACCACATTCCTGAAAAAAATGCTGTTTATTAATATTAAATAATCAATCAATTCAATCAAATATTATTTATAGAGCCCTTTACAACACACAAGGCGACCAAAGTGCTTTACAAAAAAAAAAACATAAAATCAGTTAAAAACATTCATAAAACCAAACAATAAAAAAACTATAAAACCATTAGAAACTAAATAAACACAACATTGGATTATAAAAACATGTTTTACTCATTGAGGTATTTATCTAAATTGAATATATTTTGCCCTAGTGATGATCTGGGATGACTTGAAGAAGAAAACTGTTATAGAAATAGAATTCTCCACAGAAGTAAAGGCTGTGAAACTTCGACGAGACAGGTAGGCTCTGTGTAAAGACATTTGACCTTATAATGATTACTTTTCCCCCAAAATAAGTATAAATCTATTAACTATGGTTTTACTAACACAACTTTTTGCCTCTGTCAGAATTGTGGTGGTCTTGGACTCGATGATTAAAGTTTTCACATTTACGCACAATCCACATCAGCTGCATGTGTTTGAGACCTGCTACAACCCCAAAGGTGAAGTACTTTTTATGGTCTTGTAATGTCATTTAGAGTCTCACTTCATGGATCGTCTGGTTTTTTTAATAACACATGTGTTTCCTGAATGAGAAACATTTTAAAATAGCAGATTACTTAGTACGGAATATTTTTGACTGTGACTGTGTGTGACTGTGACTGTGTGTGACTGTGACTGTGTGTGACTGACTGTGTGTGACTGTGACTGTGTGACTGTGACTGTGTGTGACTGTGTGTGACTGTGTGTGACTGACTGTGTGTGACTGTGTGTGTGACTGTGACTGTGTGACTGTGTGTGACTGTGACTGTGTGAGACTGTGACTGTGTGTGACTGACTGTGACTGTGTGTGACTGTGTGTGACTGACTGTGTGTGACTGTGACTGTGTGACTGTGACTGTGTGACTGTGTGTGACTGTGACTGTGTGAGACTGTGACTGTGTGTGACTGACTGTGTGTGACTGTGACTGTGTGTGACTGTGACTGTGTGTGACTGACTGTGTGTGACTGTGACTGTGTGTGACTGTGACTGTGTGTGACCGACTGTGACTGTGTGAGACTGTGACTGTGTGTGACTGTGTGTGACTGTGACTGTGTGTGACTGTGACTGTGTGTGACTGTGTGACTGTGTGTGACTGTGACTGTGTGTGACCGACTGTGACTGTGTGAGACTGTGACTGTGTGTGACTGTGACTGTGTGTGACCGACTGTGACTGTGTGTGGCTGTGTGTGACTGTGTGTGACTGTGACTGTGTGAGACTGTGACTGTGTGACTGTGACTGTGTGTGACTGTGTGTGACTGTGTGTGACCGACTGTGACTGTGTGTGACTGTGTGTGACTGTGACTGTGTGAGACTGTGACTGTGTGTGGCTGTGACTGTGTGAGACTGTGACTGTGTGAGACTGTGACTGTGTGTGACTGTGACTGTGTGTGACTGTGACTGTGTGTGACTGTGACTGTGTGACTGTGACTGTGTGTGACTGTGACTGACTGTGACTGTGTGAGACTGTGACTGTGTGTGACTGTGTGTGACTGTGACTGTGTGTGACTGTGACTGTGTGTGACTGTGACTGTGTGAGACTGTGACTGTGTGTGACTGTGACTGTGTGTGACTGTGGCTGTGTGTGACTGTGTGTGACTGTGTGAGACTGTGACTGTGTGTGACTGTGTGAGACTGTGTGTGACTGTGACTGTGTGTGACCGACTGTGACTGTGTGAGACTGTGACTGTGTGTGACTGTGACTGTGTGAGACTGTGACTGTGTGTGACTGTGTGTGACTGTGACTGTGTGAGACTGTGACTGTGTGAGACTGTGACTGTGTGTGGCTGTGACTGTGTGTGACTGTGTGTGGCTGTGTGTGACTGTGACTGTGTGTGACTGTGTGTGACTGTGACTGTGTGTGACTGTGACTGTGTGTGACTGTGTGTGACTGTGACTGTGTGTGACCGACTGTGACTGTGTGTGACCGACTGTGACTGTGTGTGACTGTGACTGTGTGAGACTGTGACTGTGTGAGACTGTGACTGTGTGAGACTGTGACTGTGTGTGACTGTGTGTGACTGTGACTGTGTGTGACTGTGTGTGACTGTGACTGTGTGTGACTGTGACTGTGTGTGACTGTGTGTGACTGTGACTGTGTGAGACTGTGACTGTGTGTGACTGTGACTGTGTGTGACTGTGGCTGTGTGTGACCGACTGTGACTGTGTGTGACTGTGTGAGACTGTGACTGTGTGTGACTGTGTGTGACTGTGACTGTGTGTGACTGTGTGAGACTGTGACTGTGTGTGACTGTGACTGTGTGAGACTGTGACTGTGTGAGACTGTGACTGTGTGTGACTGTGTGTGACCGACTGTGACTGTGTGTGACCGACTGTGACTGTGTGTGACTGTGTGTGACTGTGACTGTGACTGTGTGAGACTGTGACTGTGTGAGACTGTGACTGTGTGAGACTGTGACTGTGTGTGACCGACTGTGACTGTGTGAGACTGTGACTGTGTGTGACCGACTGTGACTGTATGAGACTGTGACTGTGTGAGACTGTGACTGTGTGAGACTGTGACTGTGTGAGACTGTGACTGTGTGTGGCTGTGACTGTGTGTGACTGTGTGTGGCTGTGTGTGACTGTGACTGTGTGTGACTGTGTGAGACTGACTGTGTGAGACTGTGACTGTGTGTGACTGTGTGTGACTGTGTGTGACTGTGTGTCTCTCCACGCAGGTCTGTGTGTGCTGTGTCCGAACAGTAACAACTCGCTCCTGGCGTTCCCGGGCACACACTCTGGACATGTGCAGATTGTAGATTTGGCGAACACCGAGAAGCCGCCTGTCGACATTCCTGCCCACGAGGGGGTGCTGTGCTGCATCGCTCTCAACCTGCAGGGAACCAGGATCGCTACGGCTTCAGAGAAGGTATCTGTGCTTCTTATGGATCTATTAAAATATCTGGATGTGGCTTTACTAGCTTTAAAATGTCTCATGGCCACTTCAGACAAAATACTCTGAGGCCGAAGACACATTTTCTCCCAATAGACGCAAAAAATATAACAGTCTGTGCTCCACTGACAGGGCCCACTATAGGTTGGATTTTGTGTTTTATTTTTTTCCTTTGTGATGATGAATTAATTAGTAATAATGCAGTAATAATGTTTACAAATGTGTTTTGTCTCAGGGAACCCTCATAAGAATCTTTGACACTTCAGCCGGTCAGCTGATCCAGGAGCTGCGGAGAGGGTCTCAGGCGGCAAACATCTACTGGTGACTTTTTACTCTGAGTCTAACCATTGATACGTGCAGTAAGATTAAGATTAAAGATAGATTAAGATTAAAGATTAGGAGATCCTTTATTCGTCCCACAGCGAGGACATTTCAGAATGTTTGTTCAAGTATATTTTACTAATTTTGTTTTGGCTCTTTCAGTATTAATTTTAACCAGGATGCGTCCCTGATCTGCGTCTCCAGTGACCACGGGACTGTGCACGTATTCGCAGCTGAGGATCCTAAAAGAAACAAGCAGAGCAGGTCTGTGCCAGTCTGTGCCAGTCTAAAGCAGATCCTTCACAGAAAAGATAAATGTAACACTGTCCGTCTTCTTTTCAGTTTGGCTTCGGCGAGTTTTCTCCCAAAATACTTCAGCTCAAAATGGAGCTTCTCCAAGTTCCAGGTCCCTTCAGGTTCTCCCTGTGTCTGTGCCTTTGGAACCGAGCCCAACGCCGTCATCGGTCTGTTCCCTATGCGGTTAACACACTTTCTCCTACACAAGGCAACACAAAGCGCCTCACAACACAACACATCACAACACACACACACATCACATCACATACAACACATCACAACACACACACTTCACACACACAACACATCACACACAACACACACACACACACAGACACACACACATCTCACACACACACACACACAGACACACACACAACAGACATAACACACACTAACACACACAACAGACATAACACACACTAACACACACAACACACACATCACACACATCACACACTTCACACACTACACACACATCACACACTTCACACACTACACACACTACACACACACAGACAAACACACACACACACTACACACAACACACACACACACTCACACACTTCACACACACACACACTCACACACTTCACACACACACACACACTTCACACACAAACACACAGACACACACACATCACACACTTCACACACAGACACACACACACACACTTCACACACACACACACAGACACAGACACACACACATCACACACTTCACACACACACACACTTCACACACACACACATCACACACTTCACACACACACACACACAGAAACACACACATCACACACACACACAGACACAGACACACACACACACACATCTCACACACACACACACACACACACTTCACACACACACACACACACAGACACAGACACCCACACATCACACACTTCACACACACACACACACACACTTCACACACACACACACACTTCACACACTTCACACACTTCACACACTTCACACACACACATCACAGACACACACACACACACAACACACACTTCACAGAACACAGACACACACACAACACACACATCACACACACACACTTCACACACACACACACACACAGACATAGACACACACACATCACACACACACACACATCACAGACACAGACACACACACAACACACACATCACACACACACACTTCACAGACACAGACACACACACTTCACAGACACAGACACACACACAACACACACATCACACACACACACTTCACACACACTTCACAGACACACACACACACACTTCACACACACTTCACACTTCACACACACACACACACACACACACACACACACGTCGTCCTCTCTGAGTCTGAAGTGCAGTTCTACCTTCTCGTCTCAGAGCAGTCATTTTGACGGCTCTATTCATTTGTCGGTAAAGGTCATTTTCAGTCACTTTGAAACATGGTTCTGGTTCTGAGAGAACAGAGTTACCACAGCAGCCTTTAACAAACTGTTTTTCTAGTTATGTTCAATAAAACTGGTAAATAATTTAATTTCAATAAAACCAGTGAAAAAGAAACTTTTGTGAGTTTTCCAGAATTTAATTTATTTGAACGGGAGCTGTATAAAAAAATGACTGCTCTGGGAGTTCCACGTCTAAAATGTCACAATAATATTGACGTCTTGAGATTGTTCAGTAGTTCCCCACTCCCCCAGATTATAGATAAAATAAAGATCTATATCTAAAGTTTGCTGACAGCTCTTCTCTTCTTCCATTTCCAGCCATTTGTGCCGACGGCAGCTACTACAAGTTCCTCTTCAACCAGAAAGGGGAGTGCTCCAGAGACGTGTACGCTCAGTTCCTGGAGATGACGGATGAAAAGATCTGACCCGAGCCCTCCTTAAATATATTTTTATGTTGAAATGGAGCAAACAGAACTCTTGGATCGGGCTGAACTTTCTGCACCGTGCGAGAGAAAAGAGGGAATCGTTCTATTTTTCGAGGCCTCTTCTTGAATCGTCGTCCAGAGACTTTAGAGGCGGTTTTCTGAAGAGAGAGACGATCAAACACGTTGTGACTGGAGCTGCGTATGTACAAGTATAGAGCTTCATATATACAGACTGTTGTAAGTATATATACAAGTGTATTTCCACAGGACCTGCTGGGCTCCTGTTTAACATGACCTAGTATTAGATATTCATGTAAGAATACAGACCTGACGACTGAATTTTGAGCAAAAAAAGTAAAATTGATACATAACTGAATCAATTCTTTGTGCAATATGTTTTTCTTGTTATTTTGATTCCTTTCCAACACAATTCTGACGATTTCTTCGGAGTTTTCATAAAGGGTCTCGTTCAGAGCTGAGACTAGTGTTGTAGCAGTTCTTGTTGGTTGCATGTTTTTGGTTCAGCTTCAGTTCGACGCCGTTTCTTTTTGTGTGTGATTCCCATGTACGCTTCGATCGAAAACCGATATTTGAATGATAAATGATTGTACGATTAGGGCTGTCTGTATCATTTATAGCCGCTCTATAATAAAACCAGAATGGAAAAGCACCCAGTGACCCTCAACACCGCATCTCTCACGACTAAACTGAACTAATCCCACGTTTTTCTGTACAATAATTATATCACGATGTGTGTGAATCTGCAAAGCTTACAAGGCTGCCAATGTTTCTACCGTAAATAAACGTGTATACTTTTACACATGACGGCTGTTCTCTTGACTCTCTGGAAAGACTTGGATTAGTGTCTCTGAATTCAGAACAAAAGGTGCATCAGGTACATGTCTCTGGCAGTAATGCAGACCAGTGGTTCCCAATCAATTGTTTTCTTTGTGGAAAGCTGTCTTTTTATTTCAATTCCTTCTTGTCATTATGTAGACAACCAACATTAGGTTTTTATGAATGAACTGAGACTGAATTAGCCTTAGCCATCTGTAAACTCCAGTCAATTTCTCTACATGCTCCCTTTGTATGACATGAAGTTAGTACAATGGTATGGTGAGACCAGGCTAGGACTGGACCAAAAATAAGAAAGGTAGGCAATAAACAGGCCTTAATTTACCAAATACTATTAAGTGATTCCTGGGATCAATGTTTAGATTCAAATACATGTTATGGTTTTCTTATAACATGCCATAGTCGCACAATCATCGTTTACAAGTGCCCCCTGAAGTACCCACGCGTACCCCTAGGGGGCCCACGTTACGTCCAGTTTGGAAACAACAGTTAAAGTAACACAACACTCACAGTATAACTTTGCCCAATGGAGAAGGCTTTTACTGAAAGAATTACAAACGTAAATAACGCATTTTAAATAAGTTTATAAAAAAAAGCTTTTACCCACCAAAGCAGAACAAACATCAATTACTGTTTTTATCCCTGGCGTAAAACACAGAACACAGTCTGACTTTTTAGAGCCGTTACCAGATGTCGACTGAGCCAAGAGAAAATGAAAGAAAAAAAAAAAAACAGCCGATGACGTAAAAATGTATAAAATAAAGTTAGTTAATGTAAGTGCAGCACGGGTTAATGCCACTTCTTCACATCCGTACGCAGGCCGTCTCAGAAACACCCGGAACATGCACGCTCCATGAAACATCTGCTATAAATACGTATGGCAATATACTTTATGTCAGTTATTTGTAAAATATGAAAATTCTGTCATTTTACAGTAAGAAACAAGATACAGTTGCATGGCTAAGCAGAACATATAGTGTTTTCTCTTCTCAAAAGGAAAGACTATACATTCAGTTCACAGAAAAGTCCACGGAAACAAAAAAGCCAGGATTGCGATGGGCGGTAACGGTATTCCCTCTCCAGGAAGAGTCAGTGCCTCAGATACACTTAAAAAGGTCCTAAGATACACAACCAAATACTGCATTATCTAGTCACGACGAGGTTAGGGGCGTGGAGGCTAGCTGCCGCAGGTCGGAGTCCGAGACGCTTTCTTTTTGCCAAAGTCACTGCTGCAAGTTTTTTTTTTTCTTTTTTCGGTTTGACATGCTACCAATATTTCCACTTCACCCCCAGAGTGTGCTTCTCAGTGCCAACAAGTCACAGGTTTTACACAAGAGTATCTTTATATATTTGGTCTTTAATACGTTGAGAGACTACGGACAGGTTTGGCACCGTGGCAAATAAAACGGTCGGATGGAGGGTGGACGGAGGAGGGGGTTTGGAGCGTTCACTTGTTCCCGTTCTGTTCGCAGACTTTGCCTTCGGATTTGTCTGTGGAGCCGTCGGCGTCGTCGGTTTTGATCCTCTTGGTGTCGTGTTCTTCGGACAGGTCCCCGTTCTGCCTCTTGGTGGGCAGAGAGGCCGAGGCAGAGGCGTGTGTGGCCAGAAGGTGGAGCGGGTTAGCCACCACTGCAACAAAACACCAGAAAAACACCAGAATGAGAAACTGCTCACTCTCTGTTCTAAACATACAGTGTCTAGTTTAATTACTTTTATATTTGTGAATTTTAAATGTGTGCGTTTGTGTCCTAAAAGCCTTCTATGGACAAGTGTTGAAACGTAGCATGGTCTTGCTATAACGCTAAAGGCAGTGCATCTGGTCAGTCCAATGTAACTGTCGTGTCCATATCAGAGAAAATTAATAAATAAATAATGCACAAGGCAGAACGACAAGAATACACCAATATTTAAGTTATATTTAAAAAAAGGATTGTGTGTCATCTACGTTTGGGTTTAAAGAAGCTATGTAGCACACTTCTGTCTTTCTGCACTTCGGCACAGATAGAATCACATGGATGTACATTTCTCCTTTGTGAGATCAATGTTATCTAGTTATAAGTTATCTTTTCTTATCGCTCACACTGGAGCTCTGAGAAAAAGACCAAGAAAATTTCAAGTAAGGCCGCACATCCCTGTAGTCTGGGCTGTGCTGGATTAAAAAATGCAAGACTCTGTAGCTCCCAATCAGTGTTTGTTATTTACATACCACGCTGTAACGGTTTCAGTGGTTCTTCGACTCAAGTCCATGAACGTTTAGTGTCTTTAGTGTTCCAACTTTGATTGTTAAACTATTCTAATCCAAATAAAGTAGAGATTGGTGCTTTGGGAATTGGATGGCAGCTCTGACTGCCAAACCCCCAAACCTGAAACTGATAAATAAAATCTATGTAAATGTAAATAAAAAAATGAAAAAAAGGTAGATTTAGAAACCAGTATAAATCTTTGTTTACATCCTTGTGCACATGCGCCACTCGCTGAGTGGAAGAAGACAGAGCGGCGCCAACTGAAGCATGGAGGGAGTTCTTTTAAAAGACTGTATATAAGCAAAAACCATTTATCTCGTTTTTCACCACGGAAATGTGGCCCGGCTTTTTGCCGTCGTGGTAAAGTGGTCCGCACATTAAAAGCAGGTTGCCACATTATGCTGTTACTTACGGTAAACGTGGAAATAGAGCCTTGCGGGGAAGAGCCCCCGAAATACAATGTTTAAACTTCATCATCACAGTGAACAAGTGTGCAGTGTGTAGTTTTAATTATTTTTGTCCCCCCCCCGGCTTCCTGTTCTACGTTACTGTAGGTAACAGCATAAAGCATTTTAATGTACGGACCACTTTACTGCGGCCGTTTTATTACTGTTCTTTTTCAAAGAAATTAGAAAAAAAACGTTATCTGGCCCCAGCGAGCCGTACAACGGACCACACAAGAATGGACCATGTGATTTAGTAAAACCTCTCTGCAAACGTATGAAACTAGCCAACTCTAGCATTCTAAGCTGGTTTGCCACCCAGTCACGTGACCGGCGCAGAAAAACTATAATGACGTCACTCAAAGATCCTCTGATAGGGGAGGTGTCCAGAGAAAGAATTAGAGCTTCTGCATAGATGATTAGTTTCAGGCTTGACGACACTTAGCGTTGACACGAGTGTGAACTGTACCTGTGGCTGTAGTTGTGCCGAGGGGCATGAGGTGCGTCCCGTTCTGTGTTATAGTCTTTATGGGGAGCTGGTGCTGTCCCAGTGGGGCCTGGACTATGGTGACGGTGGTGAGGGGCGGAGCCTGGGAGCTCTGGATGATCCGACTGACTCCACCTATAGAGGGCGCACTCATCGAGATGGGCTCCATTTTAACTGCAAAACATGAGAACGAGCAGTGAATAAATCTGAAACTGGATCTACACATTCACCATCTCGACACAGGTCTGCGGGGACGGGTCAGTGACGCTGCAGTACCTTTGACCTCATGATGCTCTCCGCCTCCATTCGCCTGAGAGTTCACGGCAGCAGGAGGACGTTCCATGGTTGCCATAGTGACCGCCGGGATCTGATGAACCACGTGCACGGTCTGCATGACCGGGGCGGGGCTGCCGGTGGTGGTGACGATGGCAGGAGTGGCCACGGCATAAGTGACAGGCTTCAAAGAGTTCTGAGATAATGGTCTCTGGACGGCGATCAACACAGGCTGAGTGTTCAGAGGGGACCCTGAGACACACACACACAGTGTTAAAGGGGACCCTGAGACACACACACACACAGTGTTAGAGGGGACCCTGAGACACACACACACAGTGTTAGAGGGCACCCTGAGACACACACACACAGTGTTAGAGGGGACCCTGAGACACACACACACAGTGTTAAAGGGGACCCTGAGACACACACAAGCACACACACAGTGTTAGAGGGGACCCTGAGACACACACACAGTGTTAGAGGGGACCCTGAGACACACACACAGTGTTAGAGGGGACCCTGAGACACACACACAGTGTTAGAGGGGACCCTGAGACACACACACAGTGTTAGAGGGGACTGAGGTACATGTGTTGTGTGCGTGTAGGTCTGAGGTACATGTGTTGTGTGCGTGTAGATCTGAGGTACATGTGTTTTGTGCGTGTAGATCTGAGGTACATGTGTTTTTGCGTGTAGATCTGAGGTACATGTGTTTTTGCGTGTAGATCTGAGGTACATGTGTTGTGTGCGTGTAGATCTGAGGTACATGTGTTGTGTGCGTGTAGATCTGAGGTACATGTGTTGTGTGCGTGTAGATCTGAGGTACATGTGTTTTGTGCGTGTAGATCTGAGGTACATGTGTTGTGTGCGTGTAGATCTGAGGTACATGTTGTGTGCGTGTAGATCTGAGGTACATGTGTTTTGTGCGTGTAGATCTGAGGTACATGTGTTTTGTGTGTGTGTAGATCTGAGGTACATGTGTTTTGTGCGTGTAGATCTGAGGTACATGTGTTGTGTGTGTGTGTAGATCTGAGGTACATGTGTTTTGTGCGTGTAGGTCTGAGGTACATGTGTTTTTGCGTGTAGGTCTGAGGTACATGTGTTGTGTGCGTGTAGGTCTGAGGTACATGTGTTGTGTGCGTGTAGGTCTGAGGTACATGTGTTGTGTGCGTGTAGATCTGAGGTACATGTGTTGTGTGCGTGTAGATCTGAGGTACATGTGTTGTGTGCGTGTAGATCTGAGGTACATGTGTTGTGTGCGTGTAGATCTGAGGTACATGTGTTTTATGCGTGTAGATCTGAGGTACATGTGTTTTATGCGTGTAGATCTGAGGTACATGTGTTTTATGCGTGTAGATCTGAGGTACATGTGTTGTGTGCGTGTAGATCTGAGGTACATGTGTTTTGTGCGTGTAGGTCTGAGGTACATGTGTTTTTGCGTGTAGGTCTGAGGTACATGTGTTGTGTGCGTGTAGGTCTGAGGTACATGTGTTGTGTGCGTGTAGATCTGAGGTACATGTGTTGTGTGCGTGTAGATCTGAGGTACATGTGTTGTGTGCGTGTAGATCTGAGGTACATGTGTTGTGTGCGTGTAGATCTGAGGTACATGTGTTTTATGCGTGTAGATCTGAGGTACATGTGTTTTATGCGTGTAGATCTGAGGTACATGTGTTTTATGCGTGTAGATCTGAGGTACATGTGTTTGTGTGCGTGTAGATCTGAGGTACATGTGTTGTGTGCGTGTAGATCTGAGGTACATGTGTTTTGTGCGTGTAGATCTGAGGTACATGTGTTTTGTGCGTGTAGATCTGAGGTACATGTGTTGTGTGCGTGTAGATCTGAGGTACATGTGTTTTATGCGTGTAGATCTGAGGTACATGTGTTTTATGCGTGTAGATCTGAGGTACATGTGTTGTGTGCGTGTAGATCTGAGGTACATGTGTTTTGTGCGTGTAGATCTGAGGTACATGTGTTTTGTGCGTGTAGATCTGAGGTACATGTGTTTTTGCGTGTAGATCTGAGGTACATGTGTTGTGTGCGTGTAGATCTGAGGTACATGTGTTTTGTGCGTGTAGATCTGAGGTACATGTGTTGTGTGTGCGTGTAGATCTGAGGTACATGTGTTGTGTGCGTGTAGATCTGAGGTACATGTGTTTTTGCGTGTAGATCTGAGGTACATGTGTTGTGTGCGTGTAGATCTGAGGTACATGTGTTTTATGCGTGTAGATCTGAGGTACATGTGTTGTGTGCGTGTAGATCTGAGGTACATGTGTTGTGTGCGTGTAGATCTGAGGTACACGTGTTGTGTGCGTGTAGATCTGAGGTACATGTGTTTTGTGTGTGTGTAGATCTGAGGTACATGTGTTTTGTGCGTGTAGATCTGAGGTACATGTGTTTTTGCGTGTAGATCTGAGGTACATGTGTTTTGTGCGTGTAGATCTGAGGTACATGTGTTTTGTGTGTGTGTAGATCTGAGGTACATGTGTTTTATGCGTGTAGATCTGAGGTACATGTGTTGTGTGCGTGTAGATCTGAGGTACATGTGTTTTATGCGTGTAGATCTGAGGTACATGTGTTTTGTGCGTGTAGATCTGAGGTACATGTGTTTTGTGCGTGTAGATCTGAGGTTAAGGACATAAACTCATCTGCACCTGGTGAATTCTGTGCAAAATGAGCCTCTTTGATGACGGCCAGTTTGGGCTGGACTGTAGAGACTGTAGCGACGGGGCCTGGTGCGGGGATGGACTCGTGCTCCATGGGGACCGGAGAACCCTCTCGGGACAAACTCTCAGGGGTTTGGACTCCACTGGAATGAGCCGACAGCGCCCCAGTGTGGCTCGGAGAGGCGGGGGCACTCCTGCACAAAGGATCAAACACATTTAATTATGTACAGCACAGCAGCCATCTTTAAGAACATTGTTATGTCCCTACAGCAAATTATAAAAACACACAACTATGACATGGCCTGACAAGTTAAGAGAACTTCTTCAGGAGAAAAAACCACAATGACAGAGATATCAGTAAATGTATCATGATTAGGGCTGGAAACAATATCTCCCTACAGCAATGTGCTACTTTGAGGTAAAATATACTTTCATTCGTTCTGGTTACCATTAGTTTGTTCAGCGACAGACTGAGCCCTTCCCAAACACACACATCTACACAGTCGTGCAGATCAACTCAGACTCAGACTGGCGTTCGTTCAGAGCCAAAGACAGTGTGGTCTGTAAAATCTCACATGCTTTTCTTTTTCAAATAAAGTCTCAAACATGTGGTGAAAATATCAGCATTATAATGTGCAGTTGACTCTGCTCCGGAGAAGAGACATTTACAGAGAAAAGAGAAGAGAATGAGTTTATCCATCTTTCATTTTTACAGCTCAGTCCTTTTCAATTGTTTTGGAGCTTTGTGTTCACTGCTGCCCCCCACTGGTGCGTTTATGTATAGCTCCGTTGTTAAGTTATGTCAGACAAACACAGACAGCCCATGAGTATCTCTGTCTCAGGTTCAAGTTATAATTGTAATGACTTTATCAAACCAGTCGCTCACGTGTAAAATAATAATGTGATTCACAAAGAAGTCTGATTTAAAAACATGGCCTTGTTTGGACTAAACCAACAGCAACAGAAACGCAGACATGTGGATATTACTGATGGACATAATAGAAACCAATGGATTGAATGAGTTTGTTACCTGGAGGAGAGTGGTCCCACAGGCGTCCTGAAGCAGGGAACTCCGCGGGGCCTTCTCTTCCTAAAAGCCTGATCAATGAGTTTGCTCTCGGAGGCCGGGTCGATCCTCCAGAATGAGCCCTTTCCCGGCTCCTCCTGAGAGCGGGCCACTTTAATGAAGTACCGGTTCAGAGACAAGTTGTGACGAATGGAATTCTGAAACACACAGTTCAGGATGCGTTCACAACAGCAGAGTTCAAACTAATCAGTAACTTTAAGACAGAAGCGTGTCCTCGTCTGCAGACTCTGACCTGCCAGCCTTTGTCTGCGCTCCGGTAATAGGGGTAGTTCTTGGTGATGTGGGTGTAGATACCATTCAGTGTGAGCTGCTTGTCTGGGGCCAAGGTGATTGCTTGGACTATGAGCTGAGCGTATGAATATGGAGGTTTGGAGTCATCCTGAAAAAAACAAAACACAATATATTTAATGTATGTATTGTATTAGAGTTTGGTATAAGGCCTCGTACACTCCAAAGTCTATGTTGTTGAATGGGTTTTGTATTTCTATTGTACATACACTACTCAAACTGGTAATGGTTTTGAACATGACTTAACCTTTACGTCCATATTAAACACTAACGACTGCATCTTAAGTCCCACCGAGCTTCTGAAGTCTACATGAACAAGTTTAAAGTTATCGTTTGACGTCTGCACCTTTGGACAGTCCTCCCCAGACGCGTCCTTGTCGTTCTCAGAATGAGAGTGGTCTCCCATCAGATCCGCAGCCAACACTCTCCCGGTCCTGAAGCCAGACAGGCCTGCCCCGCGTGGACTTGAGGGGCAGGAGTTAGCAGCACTGTGAATACACACACATGTAAGCTGCAGGTTGAATGATAACAGCCGAGAGTCCTGGTCCCGTGCACTGACCTGATGGTGCCTGTGGGAGAGGGCAGCGGGCTCATGAGGTGCGCCATGTTGTCGGGAATGTTAATGGTGAGGGGTGAAATCTGGGGCTGAACGGGCTTAACCGGTGATTCGGGCACATTCCTGGAGTCCTTCTTCTCATGGGACAGGGCAGTGAAATTTATCTTTATACTTGTGCTGGGGAAACGGAAACAGCACCTGAGGCCACAGAAAAAGGAACATTGAAATAAGTTAATTGAGCATCTCTTCCTTCAGGCACGGCGTGCGATCCACGTGAGGTTTTATGTTTAAATTAAACAGTTTTGAATCAACAACTATCACTCATTAAGTGTCTCTTAGCTCTACAGTTTACATACTCTGAGTCCATCGCCCGGTAACCAGAACCTCATCCCGTAGTTTAAATATGGACGGGCCTTGCTGTAACTGTCTCCACGTGTTGGTATCCAGTCTTACTGAGTCACCACAATTTATAATGAGTCACCTCTTCTGCGATGGCATCAAGACCACACGTAAACACTGATGTTTGGACAATGCTCAAGCAGCCGGTGTCACGAGCAAGTGACCAAAGCCTGTTCCAGTCTGTGTGTATGTGTGTATGTGTGTATATGCAGTTAGTGAGTGTGTGTGTGTATGCAGTGAGTGTGTGTGTGTGTGTGTGTATGCAGTGAGTAAGTGTGTGTGTGCAGTGAGAAAATAGCAAAAACAACATCATAGATGTTGTAGTAGAGTATAGCGGGGACACACATGGCGTTAAGCCGTGACTCAACAAAGGGAACGAGGGTAGAATTGTATAAACACAGTGAGGCATGTCGTAATAATATATATACAGTTAATATATACAGTTAATATATACAGTCTATGGTCGTGATATAGATTTTTGGGACAAGGCTGAGGTTAGAATCAAGGCTTTGTTACGTCCCTCTGACGCAGAGCTTCACACGCGACATTAGAACGTGGTTACATGTGGCAGTCTACGTATTTAAAAAGCTTCATGTAAGGATATGTTAGACACTGTAGGAGCAGGAGAGAGACACATGAGAGAGAGACACATGAGAGAGAGACGCATGAGAGAGAGACACATGAGAGAGAGACACATGAGAGAGACACATGAGAGAGAGACACATGAGAGAGAGACGCATGAGAGAGAGACACATGAGAGAGAGACACATGAGAGAGAGACACATGAGAGAGAGACACATGAGAGAGAGACGCATGAGAGAGAGACACATGAGAGAGAGACGCATGAGAGACGCATGAGAGAGAGACGCATGAGAGAGAGACGCATGAGAGAGAGACGCATGAGAGAGAGACACATGAGAGAGACACATGAGAGAGAGACGCATGAGAGAGAGACACATGAGAGAGAGACACATGAGAGAGACACATGAGAGAGAGACACATGAGAGAGACACATGAGAGAGAGACACATGAGAGAGAGACACATGAGAGAGACACATGAGAGAGAGACACATGAGAGAGAGACGCATGAGAGAGAGACACATGAGAGAGAGACACATGAGAGAGACACATGAGAGAGACACATGAGAGAGAGACACATGAGAGAGAGACGCATGAGAGAGAGACACATGAGAGAGAGACGCATGAGAGAGAGACGCATGAGAGAGAGACGCATGAGAGAGAGACGCATGAGAGAGAGACATGAGAGAGAGACGCATGAGAGAGAGACGCATGAGAGAGAGACACATGAGAGAGAGACACATGAGAGAGACACATGAGAGAGAGACACATGAGAGAGAGACACATGAGAGAGACACGAGAGAGAGACACATGAGAGAGAGACACATGAGAGAGACACATGAGAGAGAGACGCATGAGAGAGAGACACATGAGAGAGAGACACATGAGAGAGACACATGAGAGAGAGACACATGAGAGAGACACATGAGAGAGAGACACATGAGAGAGAGACGCATGAGAGAGAGACGCATGAGAGAGAGACACATGAGAGAGAGACGCATGAGAGAGAGACGCATGAGAGAGACACGAGAGAGAGACACATGAGAGAGAGACACATGAGAGAGACACATGAGAGACACATGAGAGAGAGAGACACACACGAGAGAGACACATGAGAGAGACACATGAAAGAGACACATGAGAGAGAGAGACACACACACATGAGAGACACACACACACACGAGACACACACACATGAGAGAGACACATGAGAGAGACACATGAGAGAGACACACACACGAGAGAGACACATGAGAGAGACACACACGAGAGAGACACATGAGAGAGACACACACGAGAGAGACACATGAGAGAGACACATGAGAGAGATACATGAGAGAGACACACACACATGAGAGAGACACACACGAGAGAGACACACACGAGAGAGACACATGAGAGAGACACACACACATGAGAGAGACACATGAGAGAGACACATGAGAGAGACACATGAGAGAGACACACACACATGAGAGAGACACACACACATGAGAGACACATGAGAGAGACACATGAGAGAGACACACACACATGAGAGAGACACACACACATGAGAGAGACACATGAGAGAGACACACACACATGAGAGAGACACATGAGAGAGACACATGTGTATTTCTCTGTGATCAGGTGGAGGCGCGTGCAGCCGCTGGTTGTGTACGGACTGACGCGCACGTGCAGCAGGAAACACAACAACAACAACAACAACACACCACACACAACACACACCACACACACGCTTACACCGCCGGCAGCTGCAGAGGGGGGGCTCCTCTTCTCTGGAACACCCCATCCACAAACACCCCGTTCTTGCCCAGACACCGGAGGTAGAACTCCCCGCTGCCCGAGCCTCCTTCTCCCGTGGTGAAGATCTCCAGGTGCCGCCGAGAGATGAAGCTCGAGTGCCCCATGCTCACGTCCACCGAGCCCTGGGAAGAGTTCCTCCCGATGGTCACGGAGCGTTTCTTCATCAGATACTCGAACTCTCGGCCCTCCATCCGGGCGACCGCGGACCCCAGCCCGCTCACCACCGCCATCTTCTCACGCAACAATTCACGGGCGGATTTGAAGCCGAATTCACCCAGAGGACAGCGGGGTTGAACCGACACCGCTGTGCTGCTCTAGTGCGAGGGGAAACCGAACCCACGGAGGAGAATTCAGCCAGGAACGTGCCAGACCCGGGACGCAGCGGCTCCGAGCCCACCGCCGCAAGAAGAGGAAAAGTAAGAGCCAGCGGCCAATCAGAAGGCGCCAAACAGAGCTGGGGCGTGATGGACAGCCGCCTGCGCCAATCACAGGGCGAGATGGGTAAGCAGATGTGCGGTGTTTACCAATGACAACAATAATAAAGAGAGCGGTGTAGAAAATCGCGGTCGGTTGCAGCGGAGAGCGGCGTGTGACTGTGACACGCAGATGAATGGAGCTGGAAAAGCGGAAGATGAGGAGGATGTGAGGAGGTTCATTCATTGTTTTAGCCTTTAGTCACACTGGGGACTTCTGAAATACCGTCCGGTTGTATCATTCTCCGTTACACATATAGCACGGTCTAATTCGTTACTGCATAATAATAATAATAATATAAGTACGTGTCTAAAGGTCAAAGATGATGGAGAAGTTTTGTAAATTAAATCCAATCTACTTTTTGTCTAAATAAATCTAATGTATTTCTCTACTGGAAACACATGAACACGTTTAACGGTATTAATGCACAAGATAAGATCAACTTTAATGATCTCTCAATGGAGAAATTACATGAATAACATGAAGTGTGCAAAATGTTAAAGGTTAAAAATATAGTCTATGTTCAGTATAGCAGTGCTGGTGCAGGTTATTAGTGACTCAAAGTGACTTATTGTACAGTCTGACAGTGGTGGGGATGAAGGCCCTGCGTTTGACCACATGTTAGGTAGGTCATATGTCTTGGCTAAAAGTAAACATCTCCTCATGGCCGATCTCCTCCTGGTCTGTCTCCTCCTGGTCTGTCTCCTCCTGGCCTGTCTCCTCCTGGTCTGTCTCCTCCTGGTCTGTCTCCTCCTGGTCTGTCTCCTCCTGGTCTGTCTCCTCCTGGCCTGTCTCCTCCTGGTCTGTCTCCTCCTGGTCTGTCTCCTCCTGGTCTGTCTCCTCCTGGCCTGTCTCCTCCTGGTCTGTCTCCTCCTGGTCTGTCTCCTCCTGGTCTGTCTCCTCCTGGTCTGTCTCCTCCTGGTCTGTCTCCTCCTGGTCTGTCTCCTCCTGGCCTACCTCCTCCTGGTCTGTCTCCTCCTGGTCTGTCTCCTCCTGGCCTGTCTCCTCCTGGTCTGTCTCCTCCTGGTCTGTCTCCTCCTGGTCTGTCTCCTCCTGGTCTGTCTCCTCCTGGTCTGTCTCCTCCTGGCCTGTCTCCTCCTGGCCTGTCTCCTCCTGGTCTGTCTCCTCCTGGTCTGTCTCCTCCTGGTCTGTCTCCTCCTGGTCTGTCTCCTCCTGGTCTGTCTCCTCCTGGTCTGTCTCCTCCTGGTCTGTCTCCTCCTGGTCTGTCTCCTCCTGGTCTGTCTCCTCCTGGTCTGTCTCCTCCTGGCCTGTCTCCTCCTGGTCTGTCTCCTCCTGGTCTGTCTCCTCCTGGTCTGTCTCCTCCTGGTCTGTCTCCTCCTGGTCTGTCTCCTCCTGGTCTGTCTCCTCCTGGCCTGTCTCCTCCTGGTCTGTCTCCTCCTGGTCTGTCTCCTCCTGGCCTGTCTCCTCCTGGTCTGTCTCCTCCTGGTCTGTCTCCTCCTGGTCTGTCTCCTCCTGGTCTGTCTCCTCATTCCACAACAGCATCATCTCAGAGACTTAATAAAACCATTGAAATCACAAACACAGATCAGAGAATCAACAGTTAAAACACAATATACGTACAGTAGATATAGAACACATGATGCTGGTCCAGAGGGAGAGACCAACGTCCGAGAAGGTTGATAAATGTCATACATGTAGAAGGTTGATAAATGTCATACATGTAGAAGGTTGATAAATGTCATACATGTAGAAGGTTGATAAATGTCATACATGTAGAATGTTGATAAATGTCATACATGTATAATGTTGATAAATGTCATACATGTAGAAGGTTGATAAATGTCATACATGTAGAAGGTTGATAAATGTCATACATGTAGAAGGTTGATAAATGTCATACATGTATAATGTTGATAAATGTCATACATGTAGAATGTTGATAAATGTCATACATGTAGAATGTTGATAAATGTCATACAGGTAGAATGTTGATAAATTTCATACATGTAGAATGTTGATAAATGTCATACATGTATAATGTTGATAAATGTCATACATGTAGAAGGTTGATAAATGTCATACATGTAGAAGGTTGATAAATGTCATACATGTAGAAGGTTGATAAATGTCATACATGTATAATGTTGATAAATGTCATACATGTAGAAGGTTGATAAATGTCATACATGTAGAAGGTTGATAAATGTCATACATGTAGAAGGTTGATAAATGTCATACATGTAGAAGGTTGATAAATGTCATACATGTAGAAGGTTGATAAATGTCATACATGTATAATGTTGATAAATGTCATACATGTAGAAGGTTGATAAATGTCATACATGTAGAAGGTTGATAAATGTCATACATGTAGAAGGTTGATAAATGTCATACATGTATAATGTTGATAAATGTCATACATGTAGAATGTTGATAAATGTCATACATGTAGAATGTTGATAAATGTCATACATGTAGAATGTTGATAAATTTCATACATGTAGAATGTTGATAAATGTCATACATGTATAATGTTGATAAATGTCATACATGTAGAAGGTTGATAAATGTCATACATGTAGAAGGTTGATAAATGTCATACATGTAGAAGGTTGATAAATGTCATACATGTATAATGTTGATAAATGTCATACATGTAGAAGGTTGATAAATGTCATACATGTAGAAGGTTGATAAATGTCATACATGTAGAAGGTTGATAAATGTCATACATGTAGAAGGTTGATAAATGTCATACATGTATAATGTTGATAAATGTCATACATGTAGAAGGTTGATAAATGTCATACATGTAGAAGGTTGATAAATGTCATACATGTAGAAGGTTGATAAATGTCATACATGTATAATGTTGATAAATGTCATACATGTAGAATGTTGATAAATGTCATACATGTAGAATGTTGATAAATGTCATACATGTAGAATGTTGATAAATTTCATACATGTAGAATGTTGATAAATGTCATACATGTAGAATGTTGATAAATTTCATACATGTAGAAGGTTGATAAATGTCATACATGTAGAAGGTTGATAAATGTCATACATGTAGAAGGTTGATAAATGTCATACATGTAGAATGTTGATAAATGTCATACATGTAGAATGTTGATAAATGTCATACATGTAGAATGTTGATAAATGTCATACATGTAGAATGTTGATAAATGTCATACATGTAGAAGGTTGATAAATGTCATAAATGTAGAATGTTGATAAATGTCATACATGTAGAATGTTGATAAATGTCATACATGTAGAATGTTGATAAATGTCATACATGTAGAAGGTTGATAAATGTCATACATGTAGAATGTTGATAAATGTCATACATGTAGAATGTTGATAAATGTCATACATGTAGAATGTTGATAAATGTCATACATGTAGAAGGTTGATAAATGTCATACATGTAGAATGTTGATAAATGTCATACATGTAGAATGTTGACACACTCTAATTGTCTTCTCTTTGTGTTAGATGCTGATCAAGAAAGTATCTGAGCGATTGTTGCAAACGTTTGAAGAAGCTGCTCCAGACTCCGATGGCGAACGACTGCTGTGCTGCTGAGAGTGGAATTATGGGTAAAGACATTTTTCAAGTGTTTTGTCACAGTAGAAAGCAGCAGCAGCAGCAGAGATGTGTGTTAAAGCTTTTTCTTCACTAAACCAATGTGAGAAATGGTCTTGAAAAATGTATCTATGGATTAGCAAAGGACTCCAGTGGCTCAGACCAGTACCAGGAACCACAGCTGGGAGCGGCCCACATGGTAAACCTCTTCAAACTTTAAAAACAAGAACATTTACTCAATTAATTAGTGACAAAAAAGGAAATATGTTTGATCTTTTGCATCAGCAGCTGTTTATTCCTGAGTTAGCTGTAAGTTAAAAAAAAAAGCACAAATCTTTTATTATTTAATTGTCAATAGTCTGCTTAATGATTAGTATGAAATGAAACTTTACCAGATTGAAATTAAGCATAAAAACATTCTCTAAAGGTCATAAACGTCCTTGTTTATTGAGAGACCATCTGCTGTTGTTATTCTCTGCTGTGTCGTCACTTTTACTCAATGTCTTAGTCAATAACTTTCTAAAAATGACCTTTCTGTTTGTTTCACTTTGAAACTCTCTGAAACATTCTGCCAACTTCAAAGCCTCCATAAAACCATAATTATAATAATACTTGTGATATATTTGTTTGAAGTCGATCGCATCCTTTTCCCACCATCTGAAGTACCGCACAGTGGCCACAAGAGGGAGCCATCCTGCAATAAGTGCTCTGTAGTAACGACCGTAACGAGCTCATTCTGATGTGTACATGAAGATTGTGGATTAATTTACTCTTTTAGCAAATTTCAGTGAAGAACAGCAGCTTGATGTGACTCATAGAAACATGTTTTTTTCAGGAAGTCTTTGTCTTTTTTAATCTTTTCATGTTTTATGGAGCTGAAAATCAAATCTTAACGCTCTAGTCATTTGAGTTTCCTGCATATCCACTTGTTATTTCCAATTAGAATGGACTAGCTTGTTGCTAGTTTACTACTTTAGCCCAGAACTCTCTTGTCCAAGTTTAGACACATGTATTAGGCCAGTTTATTTGTATATCGCACGATTCAAACACAAAGCAACTCAGCATTTCTTTACAATAACCTTTTTTAATGGTTCTGACTCATCTTGTCGTCTTAGTAGAATTCAAAGTATTGGGTTTTTCTATAACGCACGGAACATTGGATGCCTGGACGTGTTCCGGGGGCGTGTTTCGGGCATGTCCCACTGGGAGGAGGCCCCGGGGAAGACCCAGGACACAGAGGGACTAGGAACGCCTTGGGATCGCCCCGGACGAGCTGGAGGAAGTGTGTGTCTCTGCTCAGACTGCTGCCCCCAAGACCCGGGAACGGATGAAGCGGAAGAAAATGGGTGGATGGGTGGGTTCTACCTGACAACATAAGGTTTTGTGATGTTAAAACCTTATATTGTCTGGTGTAGAAGAATCAATTGATCTAAATATAGATAATAATAATAATAATGTATCAAACCTTTAAAGCTCTTTCTTCGACCCTTTAAAGAGAAAAGAACAATTCCAAAAATCAAAAGGACGACGGTGGGTGATATTAGATTTGTTTCATAGGTTCCAGCTTCAAATATTGGTGATAATTTAGACATAAGTTTTTCCACAGTTACGTTTCTTAACCTAACCCTTTTTCTAACCCGTTTCTGTAAATGGGTGTTTTAGGAAATAAAAAGAAAATAGAAAATGCAAAATTGTGATTGCACGCACAGACACACACAAACAGACACACACACACACACACACACTCTTAAGAGCTTCAGGCCACATCTGTTCCAGTCCAAGTTAATTCAGTGTAAACAGCAGCGATCTGAGAATGACAGGATTTCTCAATGGGTTTAAGAAAAGCAGGAGTTAAACCAGAGAAGAAGAAGTTGCTGAGTCTTGACAGCATTTGAATGATATGTGTGTGTGTGTCTGTGTCTGTGTGTGTCTGTTTGTGTGTGTGTGTCTGTGTGTGTGTGTGCGTGTAGTCGGGGATGTCAGACTCAGGCCCGTGGAAAAATCCAGACCAGTCATTATTAAAGGGCCCTAAAATGTCATAATAATAAACCTTCTCTTTTCCAATACAACATTACTTTTCCAGCCCCTAAATCTTGTTATTGTTTTCATTTCGATGTCCCGCCCTCCACCGTTTCACCAATCAGAAAGCCTGTGATCCGGGCGCCAGAACTCACCGCGTGGAGCTAATCTCACTGGTAAAGTACCATGTGGCGCAGAACTAAAAAAGGTCTCGTTATGATTCTCAAATCATTAACGACAAAACAAGGAATAAAAGCAGGATTTCTATCTTTGTGAAAAAGGTGTTGGTTATAGATTTGTTGTTGACTAAACTCTTGTCTATTCAGCTGTTATGGTCCCAGCTGGATTCGTCTGCATATCTGGCAACCTGAGTCAGGGAGAGTGGGAGAGGTGCAGTACCACTTTTGGCCACATTTCTACAGACTGCTCCTTTAATTCACACATTTTTGGCCATGTCTAATAAATCTGAGTCATTACTGCTGAGACTTGGAACTTCAGTCTTGTCCATGGCCCAAGTGCACTCTGGGAATCGTAGTCTTGGGGTCGGGTTTCACTGTCATTGTAGACCGTGTGGTAGATAGTGGCCATGTTTAATGCAGAAGGCCTTTTATCGCGGACAAGCAGAGATGGATGAACTACAACAAGACTGAACAAAAAGAGCCCATTAAAAATAGAAAGCTGCGAGGGGTTGCCAGATCGGGAACACGACCCGAGACGGAAAACCACATTCACCAACTGCTACGCTTTTAATGTTTGTGTGTTACTTACTTCCTTCTCAAACTGCCCTCGCAGGAGATGGTCTAATTAAGTATTCAGTTCAGTTTGTTTATTTATTCTACACGTTTCTGACCAAAAATGCGACAAAAAACAAAAGTACAAAAGGTCAGAGAAAGGCAAAAAGGCAAAAACAACAGTTTAAGAACAAAAATGACAATAAATAGAAAACGACAACAAAAATGAAAAAATGAAATACAAATGTCAACAGCAAGATTTAAGTAATTAAGTAAATAATCTGGGCAAAAGTGGTTTTGTCAACTTTACCAGTGAGATTAGCTCCACGCGGGGAGTTCTGGCGCCCGGATCACAGACTTTCTGATTGGTGAAACGGTGGAGGGCGGGACATCAAAATGAAAACAATAACAAGATTTAGAGGCTGGAAAAGTAATTTAGAAATTCAAATATCTCTGAACTACTGTTATCAGTTAAAGAAGTATTGGAAAAGAACATTATTATGACAGATTAGGGCCCTTTATTGATGACAGATTTGGGCCCTTTAAGGATGACAGATTAGGGACCTTTAATTATGACAGATTAGGCCCATTAATGATGACAGATTAGGGCCCTTTAATGATGACAGATTAGGGCCCTTTATTGATGACAGATTAGGGCCCTTTAATGATGACAGATTAGGGCCCTTTAATGATGACAGATTATGGCCCTTTAATGATGACAGATTAGTGCCCTTTAATGATGACAGATTAGGGCCCTTTAATTATGACAGATTAGTGCCCTTTAATGATGACAGATTATGGCCCTTTAATTATGACAGATTAAGGCCCTTTAATGATGACAAACTAGTGCCCTTTAATGATGACAGATTAGTGCCCTTTAATGATGACATATTAAGGCTCTTTAATGATGACAGATTAGGGCCCTTTAATGATGACAGATTATGGCCCTTTAATTATGACAGATTAGGGCCCTTTAATGATGACAGACTAGTGCCTGTTAATGATGACAGATTAGTGCCCTTTAATGATGACAGATTAGTTCCCTTTAATGATGACAGATTAAGGCCCTTTAATTATGACAGATTAGGGTCCTTTAATGATGACAGACTAGTGCCCTTTAATGATGACAGATTAGTGCCCTTTAATGATGACAGATTAGGGTCCTTTAATGATGACAGACTAGTGCCCTTTAATGATGACAGATTAGTGCCCTTTAATGATGACATATTAGGCCATGACAGATTGTGGCTCTTTAATTATGACAGATTAGGGCCCTTTAATGATGACAGACTAGTGCCCTTTAATGATGACACATTAGTGCCCTTTAATGATGACAGATTATGGCCCTTTAATTATGACAGATTAGGGCCCTTTAATGATGACAGATTTGTGCCCTTTAATGATGACAGATTATGGCCCTTTAATTATGACAGACTAGGGCCCTTTAATGATGACAGACTAGTGCCCTTTAATGATGACAGATTAGTGCCCTTTAATGATGACATATTAGGCCATGACAGATTGTGGCCCTTTAATTATGACAGATTAGGGCCCTTTAATGATGACAGATTAGTGCCCTTTAATGATGACAGATTATGGCCCTTTAATTATGACAGATTAGGGCCCTTTAATGATGACAGATTATGGCCCTTTAATTATGACAGACTAGGGCCCTTTAATGATGACAGACTAGTGCCCTTTAATGATGACAGATTAGGCCCTTTAATGATGACAGATTAGTGCCCTTTAATGATGACAGATTAGGGCCCTTTAATGATGACAGACTAGAGCCCTTTAATGAGGACAGATTAGGGCCCTTTAATGAGGACAGATTAGGGAAACTGAATCACACATTTCTAAATCCTTAAAAACGTAGAATCACAAATTGACAAAAACTGCACCTGAGATGTTGTTTTCCTCTGACTTTAAACAGAACAGGCTTTGGGGAAACACCCACACACTCACCGAACGCACACTACTTTTTAGCATCACAAACGCCTACACAAAACACACGTGGGCTGGTCTCACACGGCCTGGTTTGACGCACATTAACACACAAAGCCACACACACCTGCTATTGTCTGGAGACGTATGGGTTTCGCAGTTTGACTATTATTCTGGTTTTTATCTCCAGCTTCACATTAATCACACCGACAACAGTAAAGAAATGCCTTTGACAAACTGAAGCTGCTCTGGTTCCTTTTGTTCAAACCTGTCATGTTAGCGTTAGCATGTTAGCCGCCATGATGTGCTAGCTAACGTGCGGCTCCAATTACCAGTAACCAGCAGAACACATGAGGATGAATGAGTATGTCTCTTTAGGCCAGGGGGGTCGAACTCATTTTACATTTAAGAAGTATAAGTATAAAAGAAACATTTTTGGTTGTTTTTACATATTTTTAAATTAATTTTATTTGACATAAATATTTGAATATTATTTTAGAACAAATACAATTACATTTTGAAAAATGCTAATGAACTATTTAGCATTTTGGACTAGTGCAGAGATAATGCTCCGAACCAAGCGGGTACTCCACCTTTTGACCCGTCCTGCTCCACCCAGAGGCTACTCCACCTCTGCTGCTGTGACCTGTCCTGCTCCATCCAGAGGCTACTCCACCTCTGCTGCTGTGACCTGTCCTGCTCCACCCAGAGGCTACTCCACCTCTGCTGCTGTGACCTGTCCTGTTCCACCCAGAGGCTACTCCACCTCTGCTGCTGTGACCTGTCCTGCTCCATCCAGAGGCTACTCCACCTCTGCTGCTGTGACCTGTCCTGCTCCATCCAGAGGCTACTCCACCTCTGCTGCTGTGACCTGTCCTGCTCCACCCAGAGGCTACTCCACCTCTGCTGCTGTGACCTGTCCTGTTCCACCCAGAGGCTACTCCACCTCTGCTGCTGTGACCTGTCCTGCTCCATCCAGAGGCTTCTCCACCTCTGCTGCTGTGACCTGTCCTGCTCCATCCAGAGGCTACTCCACCTCTGCTGCTGTGACCTGTCCTGCTCCATCCAGAGGCTACTCCACCTCTGCTGCTGTGACCTGTCCTGCTCCATCCAGAGGCTACTCCACCTCTGCTGCTGTGACCTGTCCTGCTCCACCCAGAGGCTACTCCACCTCTGCTGCTGTGACCTGTCCTGCTCCATCCAGAGGCTACTCCACCTCTGCTGCTGTGACCTGTCCTGCTCCATCCAGAGGCTACTCCACCTCTGCTGCTGTGACCTGTCCTGCTCCATCCAGAGGCTACTCCACCTCTGCTGCTGTGACCTGTCCTGCTCCACCCAGAGGCTACTCCACCTCTGCTGCTGTGACCTGTCCTGCTCCATCCAGAGGCTACTCCACCTCTGCTGCTGTGACCTGTCCTGCTCCATCCAGAGGCTACTCCACCTCTGCAGCTGTGACCTGTCCTGCTCCACCCAGAGGCTACTCCACCTCTGCTGCAGTGACCCGTCCTGCTCCACCCAGAGGCTACTCCACCTCTGCTGCTGTGACCCGTCCTGCTCCACCCAGAGGCTACTCCACCTCTGCTGCTGTGACCCGTCCTGCTCCACCCAGAGGCTACTCCACCTCTGCTGCTGTGACCCGTCCTGCTCCACCCAGAGGCTACTCCACCTCTGCTGCTGTGACCCGTCCTGCTCCACCCAGAGGCTACTCCACCTCTGCTGCTGTGAACTGTCCTGCTCCACCCAGAGGCTACTCCACCTCTGCTGCTGTGACCTGTCCTGCTCCACCCAGAGGCTACTCCACCTCTGCTGCTGTGACCCGTCCTGCTCCACCCAGAGGCTACTCCACCTCTGCTGCTGTGACCCGTCCTGCTCCACCCAGAGGCTACTCCACCTCTGCTGCTGTGACCCGTCCTGCTCCACCCAGAGACTACTCCACCTCTGCTGCTGTGACCTGTCCTGCTCCATCCAGAGGCTACTCCACCTCTGCTGCTGTGACCTGTCCTGCTCCACCCAGAGGCTACTCCACCTCTGCTGCTGTGACCTGTCCTGCTCCACCCAGAGGCTACTCCACCTCTGCTGCTGTGACCTGTCCTGCTCCATCCAGAGGCTACTCCACCTCTGCTGCTGTGACCTGTCCTGCTCCACCCAGAGGCTACTCCACCTCTGCTGCTGTGACCTGTCCTGCTCCACCCAGAGGCTACTCCACCTCTGCTACTGTGACCTGTCCTGCTCCATCCAGAGGCTACTCCACCTCTGCTGCTGTGACCTGTCCTGCTCCATCCAGAGGCTACTCCACCTCTGCTGCTGTGACCTGAGGCTGTTACTGATTATTACTACCATTACTACTATTACTATTACTATAACCCTTTTTTGAATTATCAATTTTGTTTTTTATTTTTGCTGCTACTGGACTCCTGAGTTCCTTCGACGGGGATCAATAAAGTATCTATCTATCCATATCCATAGTAGCCCATTACAATCAATGCTTCAAGTTACTGCGATAAAGATAATTGAAAATCATTTCAGGGGCCGCTAAGAATTGTCTCGAAGAATGTTGCCCGAAGAATTGTCTCTTGGGTCAGATTTGGCCCTCGAGCCTGAGTTTGACGTGCCGGCTTTAGTCTCTCGAGGGTTCTTCTTCCACACATGAGCACACGGGGTCAAAGTTTGCGCAAAGATGTGGTGTTAGTGAAGTGTCCGGCATCAAGTTCTCATGAAAAAACATCTCCAGGCTTATCCTTATAATCCGCTCTTAGCCCCTTTTATCCCTCAGACTTAATTCTCTCATGGGGATCTGGCAACCACTGAATCAACAAAGGCTGAATGAGCTCCGATTGGACACTTGAGGAATTCCAGATAATGAAGCTCTGTTTTTGCCACGAAAGAAAAACATTTAACTCATCATTTTGTGGCTCATAAACCAGGTGGAAGGCGCTGGTCACTGGTGCACACATGGTCACAATAGGCTGCTTTGGCCAACTCTCCTGGTTATCCATCTCTCCTTGGTTTTCAGACATGGTCACAATAGGCATGTGCTGATAGTGGCTCTATAGGAAGTAATGGTGCTGTCAGGCGCACACAGAGCATCCTCTCCTCCCTCCTCCTCCTCTCCTCCTCCTCTCCTCCTCTCCTCCTCCCCTCCTCCTCTCCTCCTCCCCTCCTCCTCTCCTCCCTCCTCCTCCTCTCCTCCCTCCTCCTCCTCTCCTCCTCTCCTCCCCTCCTCCCTCCTCCTCCTCCTCCTCTCCTCCTCTCCTCCTTCCCTCCTCCTCTCCTCCCTCCTCCTCCTCTCCTCCCTCCTTTTCCTCTCCTCCTCCTCCCTCCTCCTCCTCTCCTCCCTCCTCCTCTCCTCCCTCCTCCTCCTCTCCTCCCTCCTTTTCCTCTCCTCCTCCTCCCCCTCCTCCTCCTCTCCTCCCTCCTCCTCTCCTCCCTCCTCCTCTCCTCCCTCCTCCTCCTCCTCCTCCTCTCCTCCTCCCCTCCTCCTCCTCCTCTCCTCCTCCCTCCTCCCTCCTCCTCCTCTCTCCTCCTCCTCTCCTCCTCCCCTCCTCCTCTCCTCCCTCCTCCTCCTCTCCTCTCCTCCCTCCTCCTCTCCTCCCCTCCTCCTCCTCCTCCTCCTCTCTCCTCCTCCTCTCCTCCCTCCTCCTCTCCTCCTCCTCCCTCCTCCTCTCCTCTCCTCCCTCCTCCTCCTCCTCCCTCCTCCTCCTCTCCTCCCTCCTCCTCCTCTCCTCCCTCCTCCTCTCCTCCCTCCTCCTCTCCTCCCTCCTCCTCTCCTCCCTCCTCCTCCTCTCCTCCCTCCTCCTCCTCTCCTCCTCCCCTCCTCCTCTCCTCCCTCCTCCTCCCCTCCTCCTCTCCTCTCCTCCTCCTCCTCTCCTCCCTCCTCCTCCTCTCCTCCTCCTCCCTCCTCCTCCTCTCCTCCCTCCTCCTCTCCTCCCTCCTCCTCTCCTCCCTCCTCCTCCTCCTCCTCTCCTCCCTCCTCCCTCCTCCTCCTCCTCCTCTCCTCCCTCCTCCTCCTCCTCCTCTCCTCCCTCCTCCTCCTCTCCTCCCTCCTCTCCTCCCTCCTCCTCCTCTCCTCCCTCCTCCTCCTCTCCTCCCCTCCTCCTCCCTCCTCCTCTCCTCCCTCCTCCTCCTCTCCTCCCTCCTCCTCCTCTCCTCCCTCCTCCTCTCCTCCCTCCTCCTCCTCTCCTCCCTCCTCCCTCCTCCTCCCCTCCTCCCTCCTCCTCCTCTCCTCCCTCCTCCTTCTCTCCTCCCTCCTCCTTCTCTCCTCCCTCCTCCTCCTCTCCTCCCTCCTCCTCCTCTCCCTCCCTCCTCCTCCTCCTCCTCCTCCTCCTCCTCTCCTCTCCTCCTCCTCCTCTCCTCCCTCCTCCTCCTCTCCTCTCCTCCCTCCTCCTCTCCTGCCTCCTCCTCTCCTCCCTCCTCCTCCTCTCCTCTCCTCCTCCTCCTCCTCTCCTCCCTCCTCCTCCTCCTCCTCTCCTGCCTCCTCCTTCCTCCTCCTCTCCTCCCTCCTCCCCCTCTCCTCCCTCCTCCTCTACTCCCTCCTCCTCCTCCCTCCTCTGGATCTCACTTTCACTCTCTCTCTGTGTACCTCACATGAGAACGGGTCCCCACAGAGAAGCTCTCCTCTCATTGGGCGGAGAGAGAGAGAGACAGCAGCGAGAGAGAGAGAGAAACAAGTCTGGAGCGAGAGGAGGAGGATATAGTTTATTGCCTGCGTGAGTGAGGGAGGTGTGTGGACCCGAAGAGGAGCAGAGGAGCTGGGACCGACCCGGGATTCACCTGGACCAGATCGGGCGGACTCACGGACCCGACCACAGCCACTGCCTCATTGTTCCTGGAGCTATTTCAGTCTTGGGAGAGGCGCTGCGTGGAGGGGGCTGTGTTTTTAAATGTGTGTCCCGGTGACTATTAGGGGACCTCACCTGGAGCACCTGGGATCCCTGCGATGGTGTGACCCGCACCCTGCCGAGACCTGCACACTTCTGGGTCAAAATGCCGGTGATGAAGGGGCTCCTGGCTCCTCAGAACACCTTCTTGGACGCCATCGCCACTCGCTTCGATGGGACTCGTAAGTGCAGCCGCTTCATGCTTTAGCGCCGTGTAAACAACTGCTCGATCAATGATGTCATTATGTGAGGAATAACACTTTAAAACCACAATTTCCCGGATTTTATTTCCAGAATCTGTAAAGTACATGTGTTACTTTGTCTGGTATGAGAAGCGTTTACAGAGTTAGCTACATATAGTTATTAAAACAACTTTAAAACATTGTTCATTTTCAAAAACAATCCCCAGTTCTATTTTAATTACAAATTCCCATTTAGTATGTTTTAAATTGGACCGAAAGTCTGTAATAAAGTTGAATTAAAATGAGTTATTCAATCATTTCAAATCATTATTCAAAGGCACCAGAGATGTAAGAATATGAATCTACCCCATAGTTATTTTAAAAGACAAATCCTTCAATGAAAATCAGTGAGACATGTTTTTTGTGTGAAAATCCTCCTCTGCTTTTGCGTCGCATTAGTCACTGCTGAACTGAAACAACATCTGCTGCTTTGTGTTTTAAGTTTATTATCTGCTGTGAACAAAAATCCACTTCCACACGTCGCAGTATTTTCCCATTTGTTTCAGGTGGTTAGCCTTAAACTGGCCACTAAAGCGCTGTTGGGACTGGCCTCGCTCTCTCTCCTCTGCTGTGTGTGTGTGTGTGTGTGTGTGTGCGTGTGTGTGTGTGTGAGTGTGTGTGTGTCTATCACTTGTTTTGTACCCGCTGCCACCGCTGGGATCCTGCGACTCCAATGCCTCTGAGACCATTGTGTTTTTGCCCGATTTTCTGCGTCCCCGGCTGTGGTTTGGGAGTTTGGGAGCTGTCCGTTCAGCACCACCTCCGTCAGGACCCTGTCGCTGTGAGGCAAACAATCAAACGCTGACATGGCTGTGTAATTGATGCATGGGATCTATAAATATCGCACTGACTTGGGACTTGGGCGTTCTTATGAGAAGTTAGGGGATCTCTCTGCAGCTCAGTGCACCATATTGAGGGACAGTGCCACTAAATTGCCTTTTGATATCTACTAATGAGCAGTGTTCTATTCATGAAGCAGTAAATGTGGGGGTTCTTAGCTGCTCTTGAGCAAGACATTCAGGATCTTCACTAAACAGCAGACAGTGGTCATAAAGTGTAAAGTACTGGATGTGTTTAGATTGATTTAAAATGGCTCTCAGACACGAAACAGTGACATAAATACATTGTACTGCAGTAACTCGCAAAGTTAAGTAAGTAATGTTTATTTATATATCGCCTTTCTCAGACCAGAGTCAAAGCGGTCTACAGTTGTGGGCATTTGTCTCTCAGTCCACACAGAGATGGGAGGGGCCAGTACAGGAGACACAGACCTATTGTACATGTTTTTAGAGGTAGGGGAAACCGGAGCACCAGGAGGAAACCTAAGCAGACACAGGGAGAACATGCAAACTCCACTCAGAAAAGCCCTGTTCCGATCGGGATTGTCCTCCTGGTTTAATCCTCCTGGTTTGACCTCCGGTTTAGTCCGCCTGGTTTGTCTTCCTGGTTTAGTCCACCTGGTTTGTCTTCCTGGTTTAGTCCACCTGGTTTGTCCTCCTGGTTTGTCCTCCTGGTTTGTCTTCCTGGTTTAGTCCACCTGGTTTGTCCTCCTGGTTTGTCCTCCTGGTTTGTCCACCTGGTTTGTCCTCCTGGTTTGTCCTCCTGGTTTGTCCACCTGGTTTGTCCTCCTGGTTTGTCTTCCTGGTTTAGTCCACCTGGTTTGTCCTCCTGGTTTAATCCTCCTGGTTTAATCCTCCTGGTTTGTCCTCCTGGTTTAATCCTCCTGGTTTGTCCTCCTGGTTTGTCCTCCTGGTTTGTCCACCTGGTTTGTCCTCCTGGTTTAGTCCACCTGGTTTAGTCCACCTGGTTTGTCCTCCTGGTTTGTCCTCCTGGTTTGTCCTCCTTGTTTGTCCTCCTGGTTTGTCCACCTGGTTTGTCCTCCTGGTTTGTCCTCCTGGTTTGTCCTCCTGGTTTGTCCACCTGGTTTGTCCTCCTGGTTTGTCCTCCTGGTTTAGTCCACCTGGTTTGTCCACCTGGTTTGTCCACCTGGTTTGTCCACCTGGTTTGTCCTCCTGGTTTGTCCTCCTGGTTTGTCCACCTGGTTTGTCCACCTGGTTTGTCCTCCTGGTTTAGTCCACCTGGTTTGTCCTCCTGGTTTGTCCACCTGGTTTGTCCTCCTGGTTTGTCCTCCTGGTTTGTCCACCTGGTTTAGTCTTCCTGGTTTGTCCTCCTTCAGTGTTGCTGGTCCGTCTCCTCCGGACCATAAGGCTCCCAGAGCGGTGGCAGATTGCCCAATGCTGTAAATAGCTTCCCTTCCGTTGCCGCGGCGACAAGGTCCCGTCACTTGACACGGACGAGACTCGCAAACTCGGGTCTTGGGTCTCGTCAACTTTAAACTCCTCCCGATCCGGAGCTGGAAGGACCCAGAGCGGTCTGACTCTGGCCTGAGTCTGGCCTGAGTCTGAACAAGGTGCATTGTGGGAAACTGGAGCTGATGGATGAATGACTTTAGACTAATTAGACTTTGTTGATCCACAGAGAAATTGCGTTGTCACAGTCTCGTACATAGAATTTCACAATAATAATAAAAAAATAACGTTAAAGTAACAATCTAAAAATAAGAGTAATGATGATGTAATCTTTGTGAGAATAGAATAATCTATAATAGAATAATCTGGATAAAAGTACTCATGAGTTTACGTCTCTGTGAATATGAACATTTACAGAATACAGAGATAGAGGATAATCTGTCAATAACAATGAGGCTGTTTCTGTCTCCATTTATTTATCTGTTTTTAAGTTTGAACCAGAGCGACATCTGTGTCTTATTTTAGTGAAACAGGAAGTGTGCAAGTTAGAAAAACAAACATTAATATTTAAATGAATCTATGTGTAATGTGTGGATAGAGATGTGACCAAGACAGAGTAGGAACTAGTGTTTTAGACATGGGAAGAATATGTAAACTCCACTCAGAAAGGCCCTGTTCCGACCGGGATTCGAACCCAGGACCTTCTTGCTGAGAAGCGAGAGGGCTAACCACTCAGATTATCATTAACAATGCTTCAAAATTCTGTATATAGCCATAAAAAATAATTTCTGAGGCCACTAAGAATGGGTTTGCGGGGCGTATTTTGCCCACGGGCCTGAGTTTGGCAGGTCTGGCCTACAAGTAAAAGAAAATAAGGGTTAAAATAAATAAATAAATAAATAAAAACAAAGTATTAGTGTCTTATATGTTAGAAAATCAAAATAATAAAAATGACAGATGCTTCCTGTGTTAATGTTCACTTCCTGTTTTTTAACCCAGATATTTCATCATTCCTTCTTCCTGAACCTTTTCCTGCAGAATAAGGTTCTCCCAGAATCTGTGTGTGACATCACAAACACGAGCTGTCTCTGATTCTTCATAATAATATCGTAGACTTTAGAATCCAAACCTGGCTCAGACTCTTTCATCATGAACATTACTCACAAACAGACTCCACTGTCGCAGCTAATGTCCTCTTTGTGGCAGAAACACCTTCTTTATGGATTGGAGCGAGGACCTCAGGCACGAAACAGGAACAGGATTCTTAAACTCAACGTGGATTTCCGAGACGTATATTTCATGTTTGTAAAAGAATGTCAGAGTGTGTTTGGGCGCTGACCTTTGGAGCAGAGGATTATGGGCCTAAAGCAAAGTCAGGGCTCGGGCGCTGGAGGAGGACAGTGAGTGTTTGTAGGAGATTTGTTGGATTTGATCTGCTCTGACTGAAGCACTGTACATCTGTAGTGTCAGGGTCACTCAGTGTTTGGACCGAAGACCACCTCCAGCTCTGACTGAAGCACTTTACATCTGTAGTGTCAGGGTCACTCAGTGTTTGGACCGAAGACCACCTCCAGCTCTGACTGAAGCACTGTACATCTGTAGTGTCAGGGTCACTCAGTGTTTGGACCGAAGACCACCTCCAGCTCTGACTGAAGCACTGTACATCTGTAGTGTCAGGGTCAGTGTTTGGACCGAAGACCACCTCCAGCTCTGACTGAAGCACTGTACATCTGTAGTGTCAGGGTCACTCAGTGTTTGGACCGAAGACCACCTCCAGCTCTGACTGAAGCACTGTACATCTGTAGTGTCAGGGTCACTCAGTGTTTGGACCGAAGACCACCTCCAGCTCTGACTGAGGCACTGTACATCTGTAGTGTCAGGGTCACTCAGTGTTTGGACCGAAGACCACCTCCAGCTCTGACTGAAGCACTGTACATCTGTAGTGTCAGGGTCACTCAGTGTTTGGACCGAAGACCACCTCCAGCTCTGACTGAAGCACTGTAGAGCCCTGCACTTGAGCCCTTGGCCCGAGGGCCCCGACGGCCCGACAGCCCGAGGGCCGGGCTTCGGGCCGATGACCGCATAATGACCTCGGACACGGGCCGGGCTCGGGCTCTTCATTTTCAGAGCGGCAGAATACATTTACGAACGCACCCACTGAATATAGCGTTCTATCACGCTGTAGTGTTTGTTGTTCTGTGTAGTGTTGTCATTGACGGCACATAGCGTTACTTACAGGTGTGTTGCAGCATCTGGGCATCATACAGCTGTATATCATACAGCTGTGTATCATACAGCTGTGTATCATACAGCTGTGTATCATACAGCTGTGTATCATACAGCTGTGTATCATACAGATGCGGCCGTTCACTCTGCACCACTCCGCACACACACACAGAACTCATTGCAACACATCACTACCATGTATAACTCCGCCCTCTAGCTAAGTCTGGGTTCATATCAGTGCGCGGCACTATAAAACATTGTTATGGGAGGTTACAAAAAAAAAAAAAAAGGCGGGCTTGATGCGGGTTTCGGGCCTGAAAATTGAGAAACCATATCGGGCCGGGCCGTGCTGGGGCGCCACCCCCTCGGGCCAGGGCCGGGCTCGGGCCCAGATAATAGGCCCGTGCAGGGCTCTAAAGCACTGTACATCTGTAGTGTCAGGGTCACTCAGTGTTTGGACCGAAGACCACCTCCAGCTCTGACTGAAGCACTGTACATCTGTAGTGTCAGGGTCACTCAGTGTTTGGACCGAAGACCACCTCCAGCTCTGACTGAAGCACTGTACATCTGTAGTGTCAGGGTCACTCAGTGTTTGGACCGAAGACCACCTCCAGCTCTGACTTTTACAGCAGGGACTTCACTGCTGCTCTCCTCTGCTTGGATCAGGGGTGTCCAAACCGGCTGTGGCTGCAGGTTTTCTGTCAGACTCAGCAGGAGCAGAGCAGACTCCTCCCATTTCATCAAATCTTCAGGTTAAAGCTGCATTAACTGACTTTGTGAAATGTTTTGAATGTGAGCGCTGGCCTCGCTCTTTCTGCTCCCCCCCACTAACCCCCCCCCCCCCCACACTCAGCTCACGTCTCACATGGACACACATGTGATCGTGGCGTGACCATAGAACGATAGAACCAGGAAGTGCGGAGGAACGAGACTTTCTTTTGTCTGTTTCTCTGAGTAAGCAGTCACCGATAACAAAGACACAGAAGTTTCAGGTTCACCTCCGCCGCTTGTTCACCTCAGCTGTCTGTGCTAACCACAGACCTGTCTGTGGTTAGCACAGACCTGTCTGTGCTAACCACAGACCTGCCTGTGCTAACCACAGACCTGTCCGTGCTAACCACAGACCTGTCCGTGCTAACCACAGACCTGTCCGTGCTAACCACAGACCTGCCCGTGCTAACCACAGACCTGCCCGTGCTAACCACTAACCTGTCCGTGCTAACCACAGACCTGTCCGTGCTAACCACAGACCTGTCCGTGCTAACCACAGACCTGTCTGTGCTAACCACAGACCTGTCCGTGCTAACCACAGACCTGCCCGTGCTAACCACTGACCTGTCCGTGCTAACCACTGACCTGTCCGTGCTAACCACAGACCTGTCCGTGCTAACCACAGACCTGTCTGTGCTAACTACTAACCTGTCCGTGCTAACCACAGACCTGTCCGTGCTAACCACAGACCTGTCCGTGCTAACCACTAACCTGTCCGTGCTAACCACAGACCTGTCCGTGCTAACCACAGACCTGTCCGTGCTAACCACTAACCTGTCCGTGCTAACCACAGACCTGTCCGTGCTAACCACAGACCTGTCCGTGCTAACCACTGACCTGTCCGTGCTAACCACAGACCTGTCCGTGCTAACCACAGACCTGTCCGTGCTAACCACAGACCTGTCCGTGCTAACCACTGACCTGTCCGTGCTAACCACTGACCTGTCCGTGCTAACCACAGACCTGCCCGTGCTAACCACAGACCTGTCCGTGCTAACCACTAACCTGTCCGTGCTAACCACAGACCTGTCCGTGCTAACCACAGACCTGTGGCTTTTCTCAAGAAAGTGGGGGCCAGTGGTCCGCTGTGATTGGTCACAATCTGGACCTGAAACACATTCTCTTCCTTGTTTCACGGAAACTCAATCTAAAATAAAATGTCACGTCAGCACAAACCTGTGCTTCTTATTCTTCAAAAGGACGTGTGTCCCACTGCACTGTATGGATATGGACTGGATTTAACTCATGAATACACAAATAAAGTGAGGTAATGCAGCTTTTAACGATTGAACTCACTTAAGGAAATCTTTATTTCTACACCGCCTTTCACAAAACAGATTCACAAAGCGATTTACAATTGTTAATTTTTTGTGTGTGGCATTTGTCTGTCTCTCCCATAGACTGTATATATTAATGGACAGAGTCAGGCCTATCTCCGCCGTTCTAACTAATGGGCCAAAATATGTGCTCTACTGGAGCAATCCAAAATGGCCGCGAGTGGTCCCGCCCACAAGAAAATTGTGAAAAAACACATCTGTGCATGCGTCAGCCGGAGAGAGCTCCATTCATTTAAACGAGAGACTTCTAAAGTCCACAGCGACTAAACTAGAGTGGTCCAGAACACTCAGCATTGACACACATGTGGAACGGAGCTTTGGGCCAAGAGACAACTTTTGGACCATCCTGTAAAGACGTTTTTGAGAGGTCTGCCAACGCTATATGTTAGCATTGGCTAATTCTACTTCTGGGTCCACCCCCACAGGCCCGGGGTGGTACTGCAGCATGTCAGGGTCCACCCCCACAGGCCCGGGGTGGTACTGCAGCATGTCAGCGCACCTCATTTTGGCCACTTTTGACCTGAGACCCTCCCCCACTGGTCACTCCACACAGAGATGGGAGGGGCCAGTACAGGAGGCGCATGCCAGACCTATTGTACATGTTTTTAGTGGTAGGGGAAACTGGAGGACCCGGAGGAAACCTACGCAGACACAGGGAGAACTCCACTCAGAAAGGTCCTGGTCTTACCGGGATTTGAACCCAGGACCTTCTTTCTGAGAGGTGAGAGTGATAACCACTCAGCCACCGTGTCACACGCGAGGAAAAAAATGTAAAATCTAAAACTAGGCTAATAAAGAAGCAAATATAACATTTCTAACTTAGCATAATAAACAAACATATAAACATCTAAAAGGACCATCATTCTTCTTTTTCACTGATTATTTTTGTTCAGCCTTTTAGAAACTATGTTCTTCCATTTGGATTATTCAAACAAATACACTGTACTCTTTACAAACCAGTTGTTTTGAATCCATGTCGGCACATTATCCCCAAGGCTCATACCCCTCTGCCCTGCGGTCCCTGTGCTCCCTGTGCTCCCTGTGATCCCTGCGCTCCCTGTGCTCCCTGCGGTCCCTGTGCTCCCTGCGGTCCCTGTGCTCCCTGTTATCCCTGCGGTCCCTGTGCTCCCTGCGGTCCCTGTGCTCCCTGTGCTCCCTGCGGTCCCTGTGCTCCCTGCGGTCCCTGTGATCCCTGCGGTCCCTGTGCTCCCTGCGGTCCCTGTGCTCCCTGCGGTCCCTGTGATCCCTGCGGTCCCTGTGCTCCCTGTGCTCCCTGCGGTCCCTGTGCTCCCTGCGGTCCCTGTGCTCCCTGTGCTCCCTGCGGTCCCTGTGATCCCTGCGATCCCTGCGGTCCCTGTGCTCCCTGTGCTCCCTGCGGTCCCTGTGATCCCTGCGGTCCCTGTGCTCCCTGCGGTCCCTGTGCTCCCTGTGCTCCCTGCGGTCCCTGTGATCCCTGCGGTCCCTGTGCTCCCTGTGCTCCCTGCGGTCCCTGTGCTCCCTGTGCTCCCTGCGGTCCCTGTGCTCCCCGCGATCCCTGCGGTCCCTGTGATCCCTGCGGTCCCTGCGATCCCTGCGGTCCCTGCGATCCCTGCGGTCCCTGCGGTCCCCGTGATCCCTGCGGTCCCTGTGATCCCTGCGGTCCCTGCGCTCCCTGTGCTCCCTGCGGTCCCTGCGCTCCCTGTGCTCCCTGCGGTCCCTGTGCTCCCTGCGGTCCCTGTGATCCCTGCGGTCCCCGTAATCCCCTGCGGTCCCTGCGATCCCTGCGGTCCCTGTGATCCCTGCGGTCCCTGTGCTCCCTGCGGTCCCTGTGCTCCCTGCGGTCCCTGTGATCCCTGCGGTCCCTGTGCTCCCTGTGCTCCCTGCGGTCCCTGTGCTCCCTGCGGTCCCTGTGCTCCCTGTGCTCCCTGCGCTCCCTGTGATCCCTGCGGTCCCTGCGATCCCTGCGGTCCCTGCGGTCCCCGTGATCCCTGCGGTCCCTGCGGTCCCCGTGATCCCTGCGGTCCCTGTGATCCCTGCGGTCCCTGCGCTCCCTGTGCTCCCTGCGGTCCCTGTGCTCCCTGCGGTCCCTGCGGTCCCTGTGATCCCTGCGGTCCCTGCGATCCCTGCGGTCCCCGTAATCCCTGCGGTCCCTGTGATCCCTGCGGTCCCTGTGCTCCCTGCGGTCCCTGTGCTCCCTGCGGTCCCTGTGCTCCCTGCGGTCCCTGTGATCCCTGCGGTCCCTGTGCTCCCTGCGGTCCCTGTGCTCCCTGTGCTCCCTGTGCTCCCTGCGGTCCCTGTGATCCCTGCGGTCCCTGCGATCCCTGCGGTCCCTGCGATCCCTGCGGTCCCTGCGGTCCCCGTGATCCCTGCGGTCCCTGTGATCCCTGCGGTCCCTGCGCTCCCTGTGCTCCCTGCGGTCCCTGTGCTCCCTGCGGTCCCTGCGGTCCCTGTGATCCCTGCGGTCCCTGCGATCCCTGCGGTCCCCGTAATCCCTGCGGTCCCTGTGATCCCTGCGGTCCCCGTAATCCCTGCGGTCCCTGCGATCCCTGCGGTCCCCGTAATCCCTGCGGTCCCTGTGATCCCTGCGGTCCCCGTAATCCCTGCGGTCCCTGCGATCCCTGCGGTCCCCGTAATCCCTGCGGTCCCTGCGATCCCTGCGGTCCCTGCGGTCCCTGCGGTCCCTGTGCTCCCTGCGGTCCCTGTGCTCCCTGCGGTCCCTGTGCTCCCCGCGATCCCTGCGGTCCCTGTGCTCCCTGCGGTCCCTGTGCTCCCTGCGGTCCCTGTGGGTTGCCCTCCCCAGCGGCCTCTCCCAGTGACAGCCCCTCTCTCTGGGACAGTGTGAAGCAAAGAGCGGCTGGAGGTGGAGATAAGAGGCTGAAGGAGGCCAGGCCGTGTCAGACTGAGCCTCACTATTGTTGTCTGTGATAAACAGTGTTAGCTCCTGCCTCCCCTTTAATACACACACACACACACACACGCACACACACGCACACACGCACACGCACACGCACGCACACGCACGCGCACACACACACACGCACGCACACACACACGCACACACGCACACACACGCACACACGCACGCACACACACACACACACACGCGCACACGCACACACACACGCACACACACACACACACACACACGCACACACACACACACACACACACGCACACACACACACGCACACACACACACACGCACACACACGCACACGCACGCACGCACACGCACACACACACACACGCACACACACACACACACACGCACACACGCACACACACGCACACGCACACACACTGGAAACCTTAGTGCACCCAATGTGAAATCTCATCTGTAAACATTAAAACCTGGGGTGTAAGCTAACTGTAGCTTTAGCCCAACAGAAAGAGTCTTGCTAACTTCATCCATCCATTCATTTTCTGTTGCCGGGTCGCGGGGGCAGCAGTCTGAGCCGAGACCACAGACTGTAAATATTAACGGACGTAGTCACGCCTATCTCCGCCGTTCTAACTAATGGGCCACCACTTTCGTTTAAAAAATGGCCGCGGGGGCTGGAAAATTTGAAAAAACGCATCTGTGCATGCGTCAGCTGCACGAGCCCCATTCATTTAAACGAGAGACTTCTAAAGTCCACAGCGACTAAACTAGACTGGTCCAGAACACTCAGCATTGACACACATGTGGAACAGAGCTTTGGGCCAAGAGACAACTTTTGGACCATCCTGTAAAGACGTTTTCCAGAGGTAAGAAGATGCTATATGTTAGCGTTGGCTAAATCTTATTCTGGGTCCACCCCCACAGGCCCGGGGTGGTACTGCAGCATGTCAGGGTCCACCCCCACAGGCCTGGGGTGGTACTGCAGCATGTCAGGGTCCACCCCCACAGGCCCGGGGTGGTACTGCAGCATGTCAGCGCACGTCATTCTGTCCGAAACAGACACATCCTGATCCGCACACACTTCCTACGGCACGTCCTTTTAAAACATGATATCTTTGGTAAAATTGTAAAGAAGAGCTTTCTGATGTTTTGGGGTGAGTTAAGGTGGTCTTTCTCTTTCTCACTTTTCTGCCTGAAAAAAGTGGATCCAAGGATGTGACAGAGGCCGAGAAAATGCATGTGAAAACTAGAGATAGAACCAAAATGTTTTGAGAGTCAGGAATGAGATGAATGGATTTTATGACTGTTTCATTTGATTGTGGTTTAAAAGGACATAAGAGGAATTGCCCTCTCCACTTTTTAAACAAAACTCTCTGGTCTTATTGGACGAACAGGTATCACCAAAATGATTGACAGCTAGGAGGACCAATAGTCTTGAGTAAAAAATCCTCCTGTATATATATGGCTGAGTGGTTAGCGGTCCTGGTCCTGGGTTTGAATCCCGGTCGGAACAGAGCCTCTCTGAGTGGAGTTTGCATGTTCTCCCCGTGTCTGTGTAGGTTTCCGCCGGGTGCTCCGGTTTTCCCCTACAATTAAAAACATGTACACTAGGTCTGGCATAAGCCCACAATTGTAAAGTGCTTTGAAAGGTCCTAAATAAATAAATAAGTAAGTAATCTTTATTAATATAATGCCTTTCACAGACCAGAGTGACCCGGACTGGTGAGACATGTGACCCGGACTGGTGAGACATGTGACCCAGACTGGTGAGACATGTGAGAGACATGTGACCCAGACTGGTGAGACATGTGACCCCAACTGGTGAGACATGTGACCCCGACTGGTGAGACATGTGACCCCGACTGGTGAGACGTGTGACCCGGACTGGTGAGACGTGTGACCCGGACTGGTGAGACATGTGACCCGGACTGGTGAGACATGTGACCCGGACTGGTGGGACATGTGACCCGGACTGGTGAGACATGTGACCCGGACTGGTGAGACATGTGACCTGGACTGGTGAGACATGTGACCCGGACTGGTGAGACATGTGACCCGGACTGGTGAGACATGTGACCCGGACTGGTGAGACATGTGAGAGACATGTGACCCGGACTGGTCAGACATATAAACCGGACTGGTGGAACATGTGACCCCGACTGGTGAGACATGTGACTCGAACTGGTGAGACATGTGACCCAGACATGTGACCCGGACTGGTGAGACATGTGACCCGGACTAGTGAGACATGTGACCCGGACTGGTGAGACATGTGACCCGGACATGTGACCCGGACTGGTGAGACATGTGAGAGACATGTGACCCGGACTGGTCAGACATGTAAACCGGACTGGTGGAACATGTGACCCCGACTGGTGAGACATGTGACTCAAACTGGTGAGACATGTGACCCGGACTGGTGAGACATGTGACCCGGACATGTGACCCGGACTGGTGAGACATGTAAACCGGACTGGTGAGACATGTGACCCAGACTGGTGAGACATGTGAGAGACATGTGACCCAGACTGGTGAGACATGTGACCCGGACTGGTGGGACATGTGACCCGGACAGGTGGGACATGTGACCTGGACTGGTGAGACATGTGATCCGGACTGGTGAGACATGTGACTCGAACTGGTGAGACATGTGACCCAGGCATGTGACCCGGACTGGTGAGACATGTGACCCCGACTGGTGAGACATGTGACCCGGACTGGTGAGACATGTGACCCGGACTGGTGGGACATGTGACCTGGACTGGTGAGACATGTGATCCGGACTGGTGAGACATGTGACTCGAACTGCTGAGACATGTGACCCAGGCATGTGACCCGGACTGGTGAGACATGTGACCTGGACTGGTGAGACATGTGATCCGGACTGGTGAGACATGTGACCTGGACTGGTGAGACATGTGACCTAGACTGGTGAGACATGTGAGAGACATGTGACCCGGACTGGTGAGACATGAGACCCGGACTGGTGGGACATGAGACCCGGACTGGTGGGACATGTGACCCGGACTGGTGAGACATGTGACCCGGACTGGTGAGACATGTGACCCGGACTGGTGGGACATGTGACCCGGACTGGTGGGACATGTGACCCGGACTGGTGAGACATGTGACCCGGACTGGTGAGACATGTGACCCGGACTGGTGAGACATGTGAGAGACATGTGACCCGGACTGGTCAGACATGTAAACCGGACTGGTGGAACATGTGACCCCGACTGGTGAGACATGTGACTCGAACTGGTGAGACATGTGACCCAGACATGTGACCCGGACTGGTGAGACATGTGACCCGGACTGGTGAGACATGTGACCCGGAAATGTGACCCGGACTGGTGAGACTTGTAAACCGGACTGGTGAGACATGTGACCCGGACTGGTGGGACATGTGACCCGGACTGGTGGGACATGTGATCCGGACTGGTGGGACATGTGACTCAAACTGGTGAGACATGTGACCCAGGCATGTGACCCGGACCGGGTGAGACATGTGACCTGGACTGGTGAGACATGTGACCCGGACTGGTGAGACATGTGACCTGGACTGGTGAGACATGTGACCCGGACTGGTGAGACATGTGACCCGGACTCGTGAGACATGTGACCTGGACTGGTGAGACATGTGACCCGGACTGGTGAGACATGTGACCCGGACTGGTGAGACATGTGACCCGGACTGGTGAGACATGTGACCCAGGTCTGTGACCCGGACTGGTGAGACATGTGACCTGGACTGGTGAGACATGTGACCCGGACATGTGACCCACTACTACTTACTGCGTATATTAGTAATTACCCAGTAATTTCTTGTAGGTTAATATTTCACACACATCATAGTAACTCTTCCATCCTGCTTCTGAAGTAACACAAATACCTACAATGATTTATGTCAGAAAAGTGTGTTTACAAAAACCCAAAATGGAGGTTGGTGGATTAGAGTCCGCTGTGTTTCTCTTTCTGCTTAAATCGATTTCAGTTTGAACTCATGCTCTGCTTCTGTCTGAGCGGCTGTAGGTGTGAGTGGGAGTCCGGCCTGTGAAGCACTTTGCACAATTCTCCAAAAAAAGGACCTCCAAAAATGGTGCTGAGTGTTTTTGAAAGACTCAGGTCAAAGCGTTAAAAAATATAAAACGGTTGAATAAAAGCAGATGTGGGATTGAAGCAGTGGAGGCGGGTCCCGGCTCCAAAAGGTCCATGAGGCTGCATTACCACCTCGGACCAGTAGGAGGCGGACCCAGAAAGATAATTATCCAATGGTTTTGTTTGGGGTCTTGTTAACTATCGAAAGCGTCTGGTCCAAAAGGATGGTCCAAAAGTGGTTCTTGGTCCAAAAGTGGTTCTTGGTCCAAAAGTGGTTCTTGGTCCAAAAGTGGTTCTTGGTCCAAAAGTGGTTCTTGGTCCAAAAGTGGCTCTTGGTCCAAAAGTGGTTCTTGGTCCAAAAGTGGTTCTTGGTCCAAAAGTGGTTCTTGGTCCAAAAGTGGCTCTTGGTCCAAAAGTGGTTCTTGGTCCAAAAGTGGCTCTTGGTCCAAAAGTGGTTCTTGGTCCAAAAGTGGTTCTTGGTCCAAAAGTGGTTCTTGGTCCAAAAGTGGCTCCTGGTCCAAAAGTGGTTCTTGGTCCAAAAGTGGCTCTTGGTCCAAAAGTGGTTCTTGGTCCAAAAGTGGTTCTTGGTTCTCTTGGTTCCAGATACTGTTGATGTTGAGGGGAGTAGACAAAAGTGATGTCACATTAGTTTGAAGTGCCTTGACTCGGTCCGTTAATATTTACAGTCTGAAGTAGTGGGAGACAAAAAGCAAATGAAAAGATGGAAAAGACAAAATGACAAAACAAGAAGCTGGAAGAAGTCTACGGCTTAACTATGAAGATGTTATTGATTTGCTGTAAAAGCTGAAAAGGTAAAATATTGATTGGAGCCATTCTCTTATTAAGGCAAACCACAGACTCTATTCTTGTGTTTAATGAGCCTGGCCTGTAGGGGGCGCATGAGCAGAGGCTCTCCTCCTGTGCGGTGTACGGTTGTTGGAACAGTCTTAATCGGGGACTCTCAATTCTAAGGCAGTACTAACAAATATTTCTCAAAAGAGTCTTGATTTTGGGCATTTTTGGAGAAAGAAAAACAGAAGAAATTGCTGCGTCTCATTGGGGTGGCCTGCAGGGGGCGCTTATCTGGGAAAGCCTTGATCCACCTCCGCCTCATTCCAGTGATTTTTCCAAAGTGTCCTCCTTTATATGAGACCACAGTTGGAACATGAACAAACTCTGGTCTTTCTCTATTTGTGCGGTTGCTACAAACGTACACCGCACAAAAAGATGGTGTGTTGACAGCGCTTCTTCTTCTACTATATCTCCGTGTATAAACCACTTCTTCTTCTACTATATCTCCGTGTATAAACCACTTCTTCTTCTACTATATCTGCGTGTATAAACCACTTCTTCTACTATATCTCCGTGTATAAACCACTTCTTCTTCTACTATATCTCTGTGTATAAACCTCTTCTTCTTCTACTATATCTCCGTGTATAAACCTCTTCTTCTTCTACTATATCTCCGTGTATAAACCACTTCTTCTTCTACTATATCTCTATCCAGGATACGTCACGTCCTGCCCCACGTCTGTTACTCACCACTGCCCTGACGTCGTATGAAACCCAAGAATACAGACTGCGGATCGAAGGTGCTTTGGATCAAACCCATCTGTGAATGATAGAAAAATGTCTCGTATCTTTACTGCGGACTTAAAGGACCATGGGCAGCACAGTGGCTGGGTTCGAATCCCGGTCAGAACAGGGCCTTTCTGAGTGGAGTTTGCAGGTTCTCTCCGTGTCTGCATAGGTTTCCTCCGGGTGCTCCGGTTTCCCCTACCACTAAAAACATTTACAATAGGTCTGTGCCTCCTGTACTGGCCCCTCCCATCTCTGTGTGGACTGAGAGACTAATGCCCACAATTGTAAACCGCTTTGACTCTGGTCTGAGAAGGCGCTATATAAATAAACATTACTTGAACCTGATTCACGACACTTTTGCACATTAAAAGCGTATTATTGTTGACATTGTGCCTTCATCCTTAGAAGAGAAATCATCAAATCAAAACCTAAATTCTGTATTTATTAAACAGTATTCTCCTTATTGGGTTTAGCAACAGCTTTTGTTGTTTGTGTTTTCTTTCTCACTGTATATGAGATCGTTGAATTTGCCAACAAAGATCAGATAATCAACAGTTAAAACTCAAGAAATTCAATAATTAAAAACACATAGAGCCATTGATCCATACAGAGCTGACGACCTATGTCCATAAATGTGAACAAAGCAGAGTCACACAGTAAGGTTTGCTCCATCAATAACTATGTGCACCAGCTGGATCTACTGGAGAACCATTAAAACACTGTAAAAATATATAATATATAATGATTACCCATATAATGGGCCCACAGTCCCTCCTGTGGGCCCACCACCTGCAGAGGGGTCCGTGGTGGCGTGGTGCAGCGAGGACTGGGTAGCAGTCGAAGGCGGAGACCTCGACGACCCAGTCCACACACCCAACATCTGGCTCTTGGGACGTGGAACGTCACCTCACTGGGGGGGAAGGAGCCCGAGCTTGTGGGGGAGGTTGAGCGATACCGACTAGAGATAGTCGGCCTCTCCTCCACACACAGCTTGGGCTCTGGAACCCAACTTCTTGAGAGGGGTTGGACGCTCCACTTTTCTGGAGTTTCCCGCGGGGAGAGGCGGCGAGCGGGGGTGGCCATTCTCATTGCCCCCCATCTCAGCCGCCACGTGTTGGAGTTCTCCCCGGTGAATGAGAGGGTCGCGTCCCTCCGCCTCCGGGTGGGGGACAAGTCTCTCACTGTTGTGACGGCCTACGGGCCTAACGGTAGTGCAGAGTACCCGGCCTTCTTGGAGTCCTTGGGAGGGGTACTGGATAGTGCACCGCCCGGGGACTCCGTTATTCTCCTGGGGGACTTCAACGCCCATGTGGGAAATGCCAGTGACACTTGGAGAGGGGTGATCGGGAAGAACGGCCCCCCTGATCTGAACCCGAGCGGTGTTCAGTTGTTGGACTTCTGTGCCAGTCACGGCCTGTCCATCACGAACACCATGTTCGAGCACAAGGGTGTCCATCAGTGCACGTGGCACCAGGACACCCTAGGCCGGAGGTCGATGATCGACTTTGTTGTCGTATCATCTGACCTTCGACCGCGTGTCTCGGACACTCGGGTGAAGAGAGGGGCGGAGCTGTCAACCGATCATCACCTGGTCGTGAGTTGGATCCGCTGGCAGGGCAGGAGGCCGGTCAGACCTGGCAGGCCCAAGCGTGTAGTGAGGGTTTGCTGGGAACGTCTTGCTGAGCCCCCTGTCAGACGGACTTTCAACTCACACCTCCGGGAGAGCTTCTCCCAGGTCCCGGCGGAGGAGGGGGACATTGAGTCCGAGTGGACCATGTTCTCTTCCTCTATCGCCAATGCTGCGGCTCGAAGCTGTGGTCGCAAGGTCTCTGGTGCTGGTCCCGGCGGCAATCCCCGAACCCGGTGGTGGACACCGGCAGTAAGAGATGCCGTCAGGCTGAAGAAGGAGTCCTATCGAGCAATGATGGTTCGTGGGACTCCTGAGGCAGCTGTCCAGTACCGGCAGGCCAAACGTGCCGCGGCCCGGGCTGTTGCAGAGGCAAAAACCCGGGACTGGGAGGAGTTCGGAGAGTCCATGGAGCATGACTATCGGTCGGCCTCGAAGAGGTTCTGGCAAACCGTCCGGCGCCTCAGGAGGGGAAAGCAGTTCTTTGCCAACACCGTGTATGGTGCGGGTG